TCGCATCGGCACGTGCGCTTTTTTTTCTTTAACTCGATATGCCGATCCGACGTACGTACCTCGTAATTTTTAAATCCAACAAAGATTTAATATCGATTACACGATAATATCGACACGTTACAAGACCGCGATATCAATATCTTCCACGATATAAGATTTAATCTTTAATCACCGAGAATGTCCGTCTTGCCTGATAAACCACGCGATAGCGATAAAACACGAGATCCTTAATTAAGTTACACTGTTCACGTTCGCAGGAAGACAGCAAGTGTTAAGACATCGAACAGAACAAAAAAAATTAAAAGGAGAGTAAAGTTTAAAAAGATTGACGGACGAACGTCGTCGTTATCGCGCGTAGTCGAGGAACTAATTAGCAAACTAATTTTAAAATTTTAATTACACACCGTTAACCTTCCTTTCGTGTGAAGTCTTCTCGATGGCACCGGATGGTCCCTCGTCGGGGGCAATCGCGGAGGAACGACTGGCTAATTACAAAAAAAACCGAGCTGGTGCGCCGCACTGACCAGCGCGTGCCGTGGCGTGCGACGGAGTATGCGGCGGTGGCCCGCGGCGCGGACGAGTAATTATCGGTCGCGGCAAGAATTCAATTCTTATCAGTAGCATGCAGTATGTCGAACGCGAAGATATACGTATATATGTATATCTCGATTTAATCGGCTGTGGCGCGTCGCTGACGCCTGCACGCAAATGAATTTCTTCGCCCGCGGAAAATGCATGAGCGACTCCTCCTCCTCCAACACCTGATGGCACCGTACTTCCCCGTTTGCATTATCCCTGTTCGCTCAATTAGTCTGACGCGATCGTGACGTTGATAGTCTCGCAATCGACGGGTCTTCCGTTTCGCTCGGCGCGCGATAATTGCGCATGAATGGCGCGAGATCGGCGCGTTTAATAATGTGCGATGAAGCAAGAGTCACCGTCAGGATGCTGAATCGTTCTCTCTGTGTAAGTCCGGACCGCGTGTATTTCGTCGGACATCCAGCGAAACGTCAGAAATAATGAAGACAAAAAAGAATCGCCGTTTTTTTCGTATCGGAAAAAATACGTCACGTTTTTAGAGCCGTCCCAGATAGCACACAGAGCCCAAAAGAATTCATTGGTATATTCAGTTTTGTGTCATCAATTCTGAGCTCATTTTCGAGTGCAAAAAGAATCCTTTTTAGAAAAAGAATTCTTTTTGCATCTGAAAATGAACTCAGAATTAGTGACATATAACTGAGTTCTTTTTTCATTCTCTGTGCTATCTGGGATTTTAGAGCACACACGTTTGAAGAATTTAATTCTAAATAGTATTAACTGACGCTTCTATCCTATTTATACAATGTTTATCTACATTAGTCGAGCTTGTCCAAAAAATTGACTACTTCTCTCTTCTATTCTACTCTATATGACATTTTGTTCTACAGTAAAATTACTTGTGAGAAATAAAACACAATAAGTGCAATGCAAGTCTCCTATCGCCCTTATCGATCTTTCACATGCTTCATAATATCACCGGACATTCAACCGAAAAGATTTACAGACATATAAGAATAAAAAATTTTGCAAACGATGTGAATTCTAAGGAAAGGAGGAACAAGCTGTATCGTTTCTTACATACATAGATTTTACATGCACAGTTATAATCGCGTTCGAGGAAATTTATTTTTCTACGGAAATCTTGGCGCTGCATATTCAAATTGATTAAGGAAAAAGAAAATCTCTTTCCTTCTTCTTTTCCAGTAAACTATAATAATTTGTATACCGAATTGTGTAAATTATAGTAATTTGCTTCTGAGTATATATATAATTCTTATGCACTACGTGGAGGATTGCGAAATAACAAGAGAGTGGTTTATAGATCTAGGAGTGGATACGGAAACGAGAATTAGTAGAATGATAGACGAGAACTTAGATGAAGGGAAAGCGGAAGCATTGGGTAAATTATGGAAGGCTAGGAACAGAGAATTAAAAAAGAGAAAAGAGAGAGAGAAAGAAATGAGGGATGATGAGGATGCGGAAAAAATGTAAAATAACTGTGATGTAAAAACTGTGATGTTAATGTTAATGTTGATGTAAATGTAACGGTTAAGCGTACCATGGTATTTATAATTGTAACTAAGTGTAAGGTCAAGTTGAGAGAGGAACAGTACAAAGGAGATAAACTAGGTTAAGGTATAGGCTAAGGTATAGGCTTAAGGTATGGATGGATGAATGCGGATAAGAATTTGTGTAAACCAAGTCCCTTCCTGGCATATGTAAAATGCTGAAGTAAATAAATTCTATTCTATTCTATATATAATTCTTATTTATTTGTATAATACCACTTTCAGATAACAAGTAATGCACTCGCGTGATTCTTCTGGAATCCTGACTTTACCGTGATTGGTATTTTTTTTCATCTACTTATAGTGTGAGTTACAATTCGCATATCATTCCCGGTGGATTTACGCAGAAATGCGATACGTACAACTGATAAATAACTGATAGCTCTTTTCATTATCCGCGATTTATCCTTTATTAAGAAATCTAGATAAAAGTCATGCAGTAAAACAATCGCTGAGAACGTGAGTAGAACGCGTAAAGCATATTTAAAATAAGCAAACTCATTTGTGGCTTTATTCAAGTGATGGATAAATCAATATTTAACAACATGTAATAATGCTGACATATCGTCGTCCTTGGTTTTCAATTTAATCGCGACAAACATTTTCAGTTTCTTTCCTGCGTAATCATTAATCCAGCCAGAAATGATTTGTCAAATCGATGTCAATTCGATGCGTCGATGAATGTTCAGTATCGAATACTGGCTACAGTAAATATTTTCGATATCCACTGTCATTGCTGAAAATCTATAGCATACATCACACGTGCACTGTAGATTTTTAACGCCGATGGTGAATATCGAGACGCAGTCACTACTGATATTTTAGTCATTTTCAATCTTATCATAATTGCTCTTGACATGTAAGTGCAAATGTGTGTATATTTCTTTTATCTTTCGTCCAATTTTACCTCGAATACACATTATATGTGTGTACATATATAACTATAATGCTTTCCAATTTTGCGTTGATTCTAGAATTGATCGAAATATATTAGAAATTTTTTAGAACATTTGCATTTGCTGAATTTAACATTATTTACTGAAGAAACAATTATTAAATAAGGTGATAAAAATATCAGTATTCGATCGGCTCAGCATTTATCGGCGTCGCGATTCAACGTTGATTCGACTAATCATTTCCTGGCCGGATAGATAGGCAATTGCAATATCACAATTTGTGTAATATGCAAATTTATATTATCGATAACGCTGTCATAATTAAATTATATTAATTCTTTGCTATATAACATAAACTGTTATTCTGGAGAAGGAGTTATTTCTCTATTAAAATCATAATAAATTATAATATTTCAGAATTAAACGTACAATGATAATAAGTCCTATGGAGGTAAAAGGAATATGGATTGTAATACATGCGAATGAACCTTATGAGTACAATTTACATACGCGATGTTTTTGATCAGTGATTAGTGTAGGATGTAAATGCATTCAACGTCAGGAATGTCTTCTGCTATTTAACATTTTCAAACGTCGCTAGATAATTAAAGTATTTCTTCAGTATATCATCAGTATAACAACTTTTGTTAAAGAAAGAAAATGCAGTTATACAACACATTTACAAGACTTTTGATTTATATTTATTTTAACTTTCTTGAATTCTGCTAATAAAAGTATTTCTACCAAATATGTATAATTCTGATGCAGACTTTGATTAAATTGTGATTAACTAATTAATTAACTTACCGAGATATGTCTACAGTACTTGTTACCATGTACAAGATTAGCAATATCTTGTTGTTTGATGTATAAAAAAAAAGATTAGATTATAGATGACACAGTGCGGTCCATATATAAAGTTTTCGGACTGATTTTTTTGCAGCCTTCCCATTGACGCCATTTATCGAACGATAATTTTCGTGTAAAAAATTTGAGAATTTTTTTAAAAAGTTATAAAATTATTTAGAAATTGTGAAAAATTTTTAAATTTATATAGAAATTCTAAAAATTTATATAAATTTTAGGAAAACTTTTCACCGAAGTGGGCACACCGAGCTCTCTTGACAATCCCAACAAACTTAATTAATATGACTGTCTTTAATAGTATTTCATCAAGAGTTAAATTTCAGTTCTATATTAAATGTGCACGTTCGTAAAAGATATTAATTATTATAATATACTATGAGCTGATCGTCTTAGTTTGATTATTTAATTAATATTTTAATCGCCTTTTATAGTACACACGCCGCCGCGCCGGGGACACAAATGCGTTCTTAATGATGTATTCAGTCCGTGTACTCCATCTCCACATATTTTTGCATCATAATAAATTAATCGGCAAAATTATCCCATATTTTAAATAAATAAAATTAGTCGATCCGCATCGGGATTAGGATCGGTCTGTCAAGAGGTTATAAGCTGTAGAATATATTTAATTTTTATAAAAATAAAAACTAACTTTATTTATTTAAGATACGTTATTATAAAGTATTTTTAAATTAATGTATTGGAACAATTTTGTCGAATAATTAGTCACGATATATAAAATAGCTCCGATAAAATCGGAGCACACGGATTGAATATGCTTCGTTATTCTTAAAAAAACATATTTTTATCCCCCTGTGTACATATAAGTACCTAATTAATTATTAATGTCGAAGTTACCCTTCTACGCGTTGAATATTGAAAACTGCAAATTACATATTAGAATTCAATCAATTCGATCAATCAATTCGATCAATCAGAACAAAGCGGATTAAAATCATTTAATGAATCAAATTCTAATCTCCAACTCGTAATCCTCAATTTTCAATGTATAGACTAACACAGAATTCAAGCAAATTGAATTCGAAATTACGCGCTGATATGAGCGGCTCGTGACCGGAAGTGGGAGGTCGCGTCATCTAGTTGAATCTGCCGCAAACACTCCGACCAGTCTCCGGACGGTCGACCACTTCCGCCGTGGCTGGTTTACGCAACAGACGGATTTAATCAGTCGGCATTTGTCACAAGCGTTTTCTCGTGCGAGGATTCTCAGCGAAAAGAAATGTTGCGCGTCGTAGCGACACGCGTGGCCTCGGCGGCGCGCACCGCGATGGTGCCGCGGGTCGCCGTTGTCGGCACGCAGTGCACCAGAGCGGCCCACGGCGGTGCCAAGGAGACCGACGAGGAGTTCGATCAGCGATACGTGAATTTCTTCAATCGCAACGATATCGATCACTGGGAGATCCGGAAGGCCATGAACGATCTGGGCGGTGAGCTCGCGTTGATTGCCTTCATTAATCACGGTCTAAAAAAGCCTGGTCCATTTAAACGTGACGATACCTCGAACTGACATGGTATCCGGTTCGTCTGCGCCGCGCCGAGGAGTCGCGATTTAAAAAACTGATCCTTTTAATTACACTGCCGTTTTACTTTGTATTGACACAAACGTACGATGTTTTGGAATTACCGAATGTTTCTTTAACTGCAATTTCTATTTAAGTTCTATCAAAGTCCTACTAAACGTCCATTAAAGCTCCTTTGAAGCTGTGATTGAGAAATCACTTTTCCATATTTTCCTTTCTGAGGAATTTACTTTGTTGAGAGCGCGATTTTTAGTTATTCAAAAAATGTGAGAAAAATTCATTTTGGAGTTAACCTATAAATCAATTCAATTTGGAGTTAACCAAAGAATCTATACTATAAAAATTAGATACTGTTGATATTCTGATTTAATTATGAGAAAGTAAGGAAATATTCATCTCTGTCATCCAAGCATTTCAATCGAGTTGCTGCAAAGGCCATCTTGATAATATTTTCTTTTATACTGATCTATTCTAAATTCGTGCATATCCGTTCCCCAATTGTAAAATAAATAACAATTTCATTTTGTTTTTCTTAGGTATGGATCTTGTACCAGAACCAAAGATCGTATGCGCAGCATTAAGAGCTTGCAGAAGGTTAAATGACTTTGCGCTCGCTGTAAGGTTCCTAGAGTGTGTGAGAGATAAAGGTGGGCCGCACGCCGGCAAGATTTATCCTTACATTCTTCAAGAAATCAGACCCACCTTGGACGAGCTGGGTATCAGCACGCCCGAGGAGCTAGGATACGACAAGCCAGAATTAGCCTTGGAATCGGTGTATCATATGTAATGAACTAAAAGAAAAACTGTATACTGTATAAATTCTAGTATTTATATATTCTTTAGCTGCTGCTCCCCAGATGCGAACATTGAGAGAATAATTTGTCAAATTGAATTATACATGTATCTGCGTTACCAGCAGCACTGTTGAATAAACAATCACAATTACGTAATTAATGCTTGTTATTAATAAAAAGTCAAAACTTAATACTCTATATGGGGCCAAAATTTTGAGATTTAATTACAAAGATATAAAATTGATAATTTCAACATGACATTGTAATTCAACATTCAACACTTTCATTAAAAGAAACTACTTCAAATTGTTTTTAAAATTAAAATTATAGGATATGCATTCCCTGAAGACTGTCGGATATTAGTATTTTTTTTCCTTTGTGTTTCGTGGCTTGTGTAAACTGAAATATATACAGTAACGTTATGGCACAACCATATTAATTAATCGCTTTTAATCTCGTACAATTGGAATAGAGAAGTATGTAGAGGTAAAATTAAAGACTGCACGCGATGACGTATTTACAGATTGTATGACATGGAGACTGGGATACACATCAGCAAAGTCATATACACATATGTCTATAATTATCTAAAGTCGTAATACACATTTTTTTTTCTTGCTTTTTCAAATGACATCCAACTTAATTTATGCTCGGTATGTGCTTTGTTACAAACAACGGAGGGAAAATATAACATGTTTATCTTACAAGTGAGTACCGATATATTACATCATTAATGTAGTGGCCCTGATATTTAAAAAAAAAACGCAACAATTAGTATCTAGTCATTATGATACGTTTTTATAATAGTATTTACCACTAATTTTTCAACTACTTTTCCCCTATAATGTTATAAAAATCTCTTTAGTATTATTACACACGGTTTCAACGGCAATTTGTTCTTTCAATGTTACGATCCTCGGAGACAAGTGTCGCGCTTTGCGATGCGTGTAACGTGCTATGCATTATCCAATTTACAACTGGATAATGCTAAACAGTTACAACTGAAAAATATTCTATTAAATCGCTTTATATATAACACAGATATGTAGATTACACACAAAGAAAAGCTGAAAGAATAGAATTGCACACAATTGGAAAAGTAAAGTTACTTCAGGTAAAAATGATCTTACTTTTCGCCATCGTAACATTGAAACAAATTGCACGCAAAAAATACACTTTTCGTCGCTTTAGATACATTATATAAAAATGGGGGAGGGGGGGGGGCGGCGATGATTTTAAATACCATGACACAGTTCGATTATTTAATGTAAAATAGAATCGATTACTTTTGATTACCTTCAAGTGGAATGAAGGACAGTACATACATATGAATTCTGGTTTTTACAATCGAATACCCTCGTCTTTAGAAAATCAGTACATACGTTGTGATTTTATAATCGTCGAGATCAAGAACGTTAAAGTAATCTTTCATACAAATGTAATATATATATATATATATACTAGTTCTCTTTTTTTTCCTCGTTGATGAAAATCAAACGACGGTTCGTTAATGATTACGCTAATCGAAGCAAATACATAAGTAGTGCAATATAATTCTGAATAAAATAATACTATGGACACACGCCTCTCGTTGGTGCGCATTAAAATTGAAAATTCATATATTCTATATTATTGAAAAAACATACATCTTATATCCTATTTGTACCCGTCAGAAATGCTTAACTCTTCTTTTTGTCATTATTTCTACTATCGCGATCCTTTATATATTATATGTACTAGCCTGTTTTTTTTTTGCATATCTTGACTACTTAGAAAAATTTCCAAGTGGTCAAGATAAATGAGAAAAATCGTCTGTATTATTATATATATTGTTACACAACTTTGTGATAAGAAAGTTATCTTGATAATCTTTTTACTCGTACAATTCGAACAGATCGAACTTCGAGCTCAAACGTTCGAATAGATTGACCATGCGATTTACTCGGCTCTGAACTCTATTTTTTCCCCTTAAAAATAAATTCCTTTACAGACGACCAATTTCTTTGGGAATACAACAGAATTGTAGTTTCTCTCGTTTAAACTTTTAGACACCCGCGGGAAAGCTTTGTGTCTCCATTAAAATTTGAAAAAAATTATCTTGTGCCGTTAAACAAAACTGAATGAATTATTTTTTGTTGCTATCGTGGAAATAATCGAGCTTCGTGATTAATTTAAGAATAATTAATGAAATTAAGCATAAACATTTTCGTATAAATTCTTTCCGTAGAAAAGGTTAACAAATTAATAAAAAATAAGTCTTTGGTGTGTGAATTCCCATGCATCAACCTGGCTCTAAGACTAGAAAATATGTGCTTAACACGCCGCGCAATACCGGGAAATGCAGATATCGATGATTTTTCGACCTTCCGGTAAACGGTGCGCGCGATAGGTAATTATCATAAATTATCTCCGTAAACACAGACGCGCGTTCACCCGACACGACGATAGACCTCTTTGAAAATTAATACTACATCCGAGAAATTGGATTGCAAGTGAATACCCTCAAGCGTCTATGATGTATCTTGAGTACAAATACGACTAAATTCTAAATTCAATCATGTTTCCATCATTCATCCGTTCTCACTTTCAGATATAACCGCCGTTTCAACGACGACGTAGTCGGCAAAAGACACGCTACACAGTACAGTGACTCAAAGAGAAAAAGGAAACACAACACCAATCGTTACTAGATCTTTCACACATTTATCCCTTCCGTACGTCACCGCGATGCACTGACAGCAAGCATGTGACAGCAGGTGACGTGCGGGGCGATTTTTTTTTCTTGGATTAACTAGATTACACTTAACGTGTTTATTCTGGGCTAGATACAGTTTGTTGTTGTTGACTGTCCTCGTCCTTGACAATGTCGGCCTGCATGGCCTTTGTCAGAACGTTGGCGTCCTTTAACGATATCACTTGAAGAACCTGATGTTCCCCAGCGGCATTTATCATCGTCATCGGGTGACCCTGTATAGTGACAGCCTCGATGGTGGTGTCTCCGTTTCCTGCCTCGACCTTGGGCACCTGAACCATCGGCGTCACCACTTGCATCGTACCGTCGCTCTGTATATTGGCCACCATAGTTTGATACATACTGGCGGACACCGGCACTGTGATCACTCCTGAGACTGAGACGGGGTATCCTGAAACAAACGTACAATGAGCGTTTCTATGCTCCGGCTCGCGTGACGAGGCAAATTGCATCTGTATTGCAAACTGGAAGAAATGATAAAAGAGAAAAATGATGAGAAACAAAAAACAAATATCTCAGATAAATTATACTCACAATGCGACAACGTCAAGAAGCTGTTTGCAAAGCGCTAAAACCGAACCAATTACGGTCTGTGCACGATTAAAAGTTGTGTCGTTCGCACTACGCATTCTTCATTCGACAACTTTATAGCCTCTATCGTAACAGTTAATAACTACTAAGTTTACGATACAGTCGCACATCCATTGGATTACTAGTCCTTAATTTAACGCGTCTTACATTTTCCCTTAACTGGCATGACACGCGGTCTGTCAGATCGCTGTAATTATTCACAGATGAAGGAAACGATATTCAAACAAAATTATACGTGTTGTTATTGAGCGGAAGGTATTATTAAGTAGAGGGATACAGAGGTTTTTCAAGCTAGAGGATAAGGAAAACGAAAGGAATGACGGAGAACAGAGATCTGCGAGACCGCTGTGTGCCAGTTTTGAAAATCTGAATCGCACATTGAATGAAAACTGAACAATTTAAGAACGCAGAGATCGTACATTTAATTAATTGGAGGGTGTGCTCTGAGAAAGATGTACTTACTACAGACTTAACAATTCTTTGGCGCGCCCTCCTTTAACTTAACGTAAAATCAAAATACAGTTTACAGGTCTAAGCTAAGAAAATCAAGGCGTTTACGAGGGACAGCGAGTGTTCAAGCCGTTTGCAGAAATCAAAATTTCAGATCACACAATTCACATGACACTTTCGTAAAGCGTACTGAATGTTAGCACTTAACGTGTTACTTATTCCAAGCAGCTTAAACACAGGCTGCTAGAACATAATGTATAAAAAATAATGATACATCAACAAAAAATATTCTATGTACAGCAAAGTTTTTATTTCTCTTCGTTTAATTAAAGTCAGTAAACCAATCTTCGGTAAATATAGTCGTAGAACAGTTTCCTCCGTCATCGAGAATGCGATAACAGATTGCTTTAGCATCATTGTTTGCCGAGTCGAAAATTTTAAGAATCCAATGGCGATATATTTCTTTTTGTAGCTATCGCACATTTTTTTCAGAATTTGTGTCATTGTAAAAATTTCTAGAAGTACTGCAACACAAGAACTATTACAAACGGATATTATAATAATAGAATAATCATATTTTATATACAAATGCGTCACGTGTTACGTGACATTGCTGAAAGGCTGTAGTATCTACATGCATACAGTATAAATGAATGCTATTATCTTATCTAGAAATTTAAAAAAAATTTGTTAAAATAACAAGTAATGCGTGAACATGTATAAACATGTATTTTTATACAATTTGATCCGCAGTTCAGAGTGCATTCGCGATTAATACTTTTATACGTCTCTCCGTGTTACATAAGTTTTATATAATAAGAAGCGTACCATGGATTCTTAAAGAACAAAGTTTCAAATAAAGCTGTGCATAGCTCCGTTCATATAAAATTACTCTAAGAGAGATATATTATTTATATATATATACACAAAATACGAGGCAAATACATAAACTAGTCCAGATCCTACTTCGTAATACAAAGTAGTATAAACACATAGACACATGATTCTTGATTGGAGCATAGCAGACAGCATGCAAAAAAAGTTTGTTCCGGGACCAATAAAAACGAGTCACTGCTCGAGTAGTTCCTGGCCGGCGACAGTGCAGAGCCTATAAAAAACTGTTTTACCGTGTCCGTCTTCCCCGGTAAGGATGATCTGGCCGTCTTGACCTAACGTCGCTTCGGTGACGGTGTTCAAATCGACGGCCACGCTAGTGCCGTCTGTGCTACCAGCTACTTCCGCTAGTGTTTGCACATCTCCTTGACTATGGATCTGAATACAATCGCAAATGAGATGTTATTGTAGTATAATATGATCTATATTACGACTAATATTGAATAAGTTTAATAATTTCCACTTTTAATTGTGTATAACGTAGTCAAGAATATTCAGCATTATTGCAACGTCTAATATTATCTGTTTGACAATTAGTATTATAATGTGATGTATCTTATATTGTTATATTAATACTTGTTGCATTATACTTTTTAAGATGAAAATGATCTAGAAGTATAAAAGACGCAACATTTCTGTTATAAATATCCATCTTTAGATGATATTTATAACTCTTTGTCCATAGATATACTTCTGTCTTGCATTATATTGATTTTACATCTACATCTGTATTCAGTATACGTTGACCTTTAGTATTTCTCTATGTGTTATTTTATGTGTATGTATGTGTCTGTGCAAGGAATAATCAAATTCATGTAGCACTGTATATCAATTTAATGTATGTGTATTAATACTCTATATATATATATATTTTTTTTTTATATATAATAAAATAAATACGATTATATCGAATATTATTTTATATTGATTCCGTTACATGCCATTTTGTAAAAAAGTTAATATCTTCAAGATATATTTAAAAAGAGATCTTTAGAAATTTTTTTAATATTAAATACTTATATATATATATTTTTAAACTTACAGTAGCGACTCCTTGCACTTGGGCTGTTGTGCCATCTGGTAACGTAATGATCGGTGTATTAGGATCCACCTGTATGATAGAAACTGTTCCATCTGGATTGGTTATTGTCTGCAATACAGTTGTCGGATACTGGGCTGTCATCTGTTAAACAATTACAAATCAGATGAATAAAATTGTGTATACATGACATCAAAGCTGCATCTCAAAATTTCACATGGATTGTCAATCTTGCAAAAAAATTGAAACAGTAAAAAACTAAGTATATCAAAATAAGAAAACAAAAAAGATTGCTCAATTTCAAATTTCCAAAACGTTATCTCGAATTTAAAAAAAAAATAAGTATGTTGTTTTGTGTCTCAAAATGGCAGTGAATAATGCTTTTGATATGCAGCTGAGTCAAGGAGAACATTTGTTGTACGGCAGAACTCCATTTAACCGAACATAGCGAGGAACAAGACAGTTCCGATAACCGAATGGTTCAGATATTAGAGGCTCGCTCATTAATTTCAATAGAAGTTGACGTACTTCTTAGTTCCGATAATGGAGTTGATAATTAGACAATTAAAGTTGAGCTCTTATTATCCGAATATCCGATTCGGATAATAAGTTTAGCTATGAACTCGTATATTTCGAACTGAGCACAAATTTGTTCGTATAAATGGAATGTGGATGAATGGAGTTCTAACTGCACTTATACGTAATATTAATTCTAATTTTAAAATATGAATAATTTTGAAAAATGTATTACTAAACATAAATTATAAACAAATCAATATAGTGTCCAATTTAATTATAAAATCTAATATATATGGCATAATAGAAAAAAGCAGATTTAACTCAAATAAGGGAAACCAAACACATCACTAGTAACATGATTTTTCAAAGAATATTCCAGATTCAGAATTTTTAGTCATTCCTTTTCTGCAAGATACAGATTCTAGAAACAAATAAAAATCAGGTCTTGAAAGATCTTGAAAAGCGAGACAGGAAGGAAATATTAAATATTTTTCTAAGTATCAAAATAAGTATGCTATATAAATCTCTTAGCGACCAAAAATTCACTGTTTCACGTGACTCTGTATCTATTTTTTTCCTTAGATTTTTATAAACTCCATCCACTCCCACCTGAGTGGCAGTGGCAAGAGCTGTGGGAGACGCGGCAATGATTTGTGCTGGCGAAGAGTTTCCCTTAGATGAATCCGTGCTGTTGAGGCGAACGACTCCCACCGTCTGTTGCTGTTGCGTCTGCTGCCCTCCTCCATTCTGCGTCTGACTCGATGACGGATGCGACGAGGAATGAGGCGTCGCTTGTATTGCAGCACTAGACGTCTTGTCGTCGTCTTCGCTAAACGCCGGCAGAAGATCCTCTCTTCCGTGATATTTGTAGCAATTTATTACAATTTGCCGTAACGCGTGAGTCCAGGAGATCTGTAATGGATTGCACTGTCCCAATTTTCACGTTTAACATCCAATCAATAAAAACTTGGAACAAATTATTCGATCGAACAATCTATGTTCATTAAATCTTTTCGTAAAATTAAAAAAAAAACAGCGAAGAGTCTAAGAAATAAATTTACTTCTTGCAGCAAATTACAAAAAATTTAATTATTTCACCTTATTATTGACATATTTTATATTCTAATAAACAATATAAAATAATAAATCTACAGCAATTTAAAGATATTCTTCGGTATTGAAGCAGAACGGTAATACAAGGAAATAATTCAAAATATTCTTATCAATTTTACATACTTTTTGTTTCTCGTCCTCCGATCGCGCATCCATTCGGACATTGGCCCAGGGTAACTCTTTCGGCCACCAAGGAGGTCGAGTGCTATCTCTTCCCCAGCCGGGTTTGCCCCTGCCTGTGGAATACTTCAACATCAAGGGGATGAACGCCCTGAGTTGCGCCTGTGTCATCTTCTCCACCGGGGTCGGTATACCGTCAATTATAAGCGGCGGTAATTCGAATAATGACGGATCGTCCTGCACGGGCGGCGGCGCTTGTTGCGCAAGTGCATTCTCCAGCTCCTCCATGATGACGGTCCTTAGATTTTTAACTACATCCTCCAACGGCTTTGCTCCAAAGACCTTGTAACTACTATTTGGTTTGCCTGGTGTAGCCACTAAAACTACCGCCTGCTGTCCCACTCGTGTAGCAAATTCGTCAATAGTTTGCTGCAAACAGTTCGATAATGAAATATTGTAGGATTCAAAAATAATTATATTGCGAGAATACGAGAAAGTATATAGTAAGGAAGACACGGTCCAGTCTGACACATTCTTCTTAGCGCCAGAACATGGCCATGTCTCTTGATACGATATTGATAAGTATTAGAGTTTCACTTACTCTAAGTTTTCTTAAAAGTCTGTTTTGTTGTCTCTTTCTGATACTGGGATTGGTTTCGAAACTGTGAGGTCGTTTCCTCTTCTTAGCTGATACAATGGCAGCAGCCGCAGCAACTCCCACGGGCCCTAAAGATTTTTTTAATGAAACGTTTTGGCTGCTTCGACTTTACATTTCCTGATATCCCAATATAATCAAAGATAAAAATTAAGAAAAAGCTTTGTAAATATTTCCAAATTGACAAAAAAAATTTATTTATAAAGAAAAAAAAGTAAAAGGACTCTCGATATTGAAATAAAAATTAAAAACAAAATAGGCTAATGAGAGAACGAGATGTGTATCTGGCAAGTGACCGTTCGATCTGTATAAAAGTTATTCACTACAATGTAAAACGTGAAAATAATGATAAACTAAATACATATAAGAATACCAATAAACATAGAATGCGTTGTACTAAAATTTGCGTACTAATTGATGTAAATACCGTTCTGCATTCTCATTAGCCTAATTTGTTTATAAGTTTTATTTATAAAACAAAAAATTTGACAAATTACATTGACATATTAAAAATAGAGGTATTTCCAACATATACAAAAAACAAAGATGCATAAGCAGCAATGAAATGTGAATATGAATCATGTTAGAATCGAAGTTTATTTAAAAAGTTTGAATATAAATGATTGGATGATTATATCATACTGTAATATGATTTTTATTATATCAAACTAATTCTGCAGTATCAAAAAATAATCATATTAAAAAATACTAGAACTTTATAGAAATATAATAGAATCTCTGATTATAAGACATTTCACATCACCTAAATAAAAAAATCTAGACAAAACACAGAAAAATATTGGATTGTATTCATTGTTAAGAATTGAAAGAGAAGCATTTTTTTATCTATCGAAATTTTATTTCTACAGTAACTGAAAATATGAATTTGTAATTTTTATAATATTGACTAATTTTATGACATGGTTATTTTTTCTGATTTCCCATTATTATATTAAACAGATCTTTATTTAAATAAGCATAATTCAAGGCAATATTCTGATTTTTAATCTTCAAATGATACACTTCTTTCGAGCACCCACTAATGGAACACTGATGCCGCGACTAGCCGGGATATCTCTATAGTCTATGCAAATGTCAGCAACTCAAAAATTTTCGCGGTGCGAATTCGCACTCTTGTATCATTTGAAGGTTAACTTTAAATACCATGATGGAATTTTACCTCCAATTACTGATTATGAATACAATCCGTTGTCATCCAATATTAATAAACATACACAAACACGATAAAATCTACAATAATACACTTCAAATTATTGATACATAAATCATAAACAAAAATAAATATTTATTAGTAAAACGAAAAAATAAATATTATCATGCTTTGTAATGCAATTGTAAATTATAAATTTTTATTCAAAAAGCTTTTGCAAACATCGTCGTAATGTGGCAGGTATGTAAATGATGTTCATAAATACACAAATCATGTATATACAGGGTGACCCATTTTTTGTCATCAAAATAAAAAATCGATTTAGGTCTGATTGAATCCCACATGAACTCAGAATCAAAAATCTAATCAACCCAAATCTATTTTATTTTAAGACGTAGAATAGATAGATCTATTTTGTTTTAAGACATAGAATTCAAATCTGCAACAAAAAAATGGGGGTTTTTATTTTAAAAATCGATTAAGACCCAATTGGGCTCAACATGAGTCCTGGACCAAAAATCTAAATTGCCGTCTCAAAAGCCTAAGAGTTTTGTCTCTACTTTTTTCACAAAACTCGTTTTTTTTTAATTATTTCGTTGACAAAATTAAAATAAGACAGCCTGTAAATAAAGTATGCAGTTTGTACTGTGCAATTACATACTTCTTTTTAAAAAATAATGATGTGTTTTTTATGTCAACAAATTTAGTTCATTATTCCGTGCATAATATCAAAATAAGGTTTGTAAACATAAATGTTTTAGAATACTTCATATTTTATGTCAAAAGATGTCAGATTATAGTACATTTTGATCATTTATCATTCAATTCTCAACTAGTCTCTTCTTTCTGTATCTTTTTCTGTAAAATATTCTCAAAAATTATTTATACAAAAAAACTTGCATAATTATTTCTCATTAATATCTACTATATTATTTGATATATATGACAAATAAATATAACTGTATATTTCAATTTACTTAAAATTTGTATTGAACTGATAAATTTATCAAGAATCTTAGAAGAAAAGTTTATAGTCTCGCGATACATATAGTAATAAGCAAAAAAATTGCAATGTTTAATTTTAATAATTTATATTTGATATCATATGCAGCGTATATAATATTTCTTGTATAAGTTATGTTTGTTTGTGTAAAGCATCAAATCCTCTTACTTGAAATTTAGTGATCTTGCAGGAAGATTAGCAGATAATGCTAAATAACACTCTCGCAGGGCGATACCGCATCCTGCACATTGTGCTCGATCGGTAAATAAAGGTGGTTAGAGGTATGGATAAATAATAAAAAAAAAAAAGATGAAAAAGCGAAAAAAATGGGAAATCACCATTAATGTGTTTGATTTGCCAACCTGCTGCAGCGAGTTGAGCTGTGACATCGTCATCCATTGCTGCTGAAAGGAGATCCCCATCCTCGTAGGCCTCGGAACCGCTACTCGGCTCGTCATCGTCGTCGTCCGAGAGCCTGCGTAACGTGCTGGTCTCCGCGTCTTGCATGGTTACCATCTTTACCTTTTTGTCAGCCGTTTTGGTATCTTGTTTATTTGCAGCCGCACCGTGAAGAAATGTAGTAGATGTCGTCGATATTTGGCAGTTTCAACTTCTTCTACATCACCTTAGCCTGAAGTGTGACAAAGTAACGTTCCTTAATAAGGCTTCCCCCTGTGTATACAGTGCGCAATATAGTTGCTTAAGGTACAAGAATATCGAACGTGTAAAAAAGTACTTTTCATTGGCAAATCGTGGCTACGTTCCCCGCACGATCTCGTCCCGCGTTTTTACATCGCTCGTCCAGAGCCGGCTGGGGAGCAAAAAAAATGACGAAAAAACGCGCGTCTCCTCTCCGGGGAGGAAAGAGAGAGAAAGGAGAAAAACGCAGAGAGAGAGAGAGAGAGAGAGGGTGAATCTGGGTAGAGATAAATATGTACATTTTCGTACGATTGACGAGCTGCGGCTTGCACGCGACCGGGCGACGGGCCGCCTTCCACACGGAAGACTTCCGCCGCGCGGCTCGCACGCACCCTTCTCCTGATGGCTGGGTTAGCGCGCGAACAGCCACGCAGCATAAAGGAGTGCGTCGTCGGCACGTGAAATCACCGCGAACATAACTGATCATGGTAGCAGGTAGAGGCGACCACGACAAACGGAGGCGAGAAAGGCAGCGGCAACGACGACGACGACGACGATGAGGACGACAACAACGATAGCAACGGTGGTGATGATGATGATGATGGGGGTAGTGGTGATGACGGCGGCGATTGCTGCTGCCGCCGCGTCGTCTCTCGTCCACCTCGCGGCATCTCGTCGCGGGCGCGAAGTTGACAAACGCGGACTAGGCGACACGACAACAAGACGACGCGCGGTTGTGAAAGAACGCGCGCGTAAGTGGCGCGAAGAGAGATGGAGGAGAAGGAAAGAGAGAACGGGAAACGGTAACGGTGCGAGAGGCAGACGCGGAGGAGGGAGACGCGGGGATATGCGCGTTTATTCGGGCCGCGATACTTTGGGGGGGCAATGAAAATGCGCAGGGCACACGCAAAAGAGAGACCACCTCCGGGTATAGCGCCGGGTAATAAAGCGCGGAGCAGACTCACGACGGCTGCTCGGTGAACGCGGAGCCGATGGAGCAGGCCCAGTGAAAGTTGCGCGAGTTGCGTACGCACCTTGGTGTGTTCCGTGTGCGGCGGAGTGGACGCGGCAAGGGAGGGCTTATATAGGGCCACTTCGCGTCTGCGGGGAGGCGACCGCCTCGGCTACGCTCTCGCTGCACCACGCCCCGCGCACGCGGTCGCGCCCGCGCTTATCATCCCACCGTGGTGGCCGGTCGTGCGTCGGCGAACGCGAGGCCCACACTTGCCGACTTGGATTTACTCTCAGGACGCGTGACGGCGACGCGCGACAACGGTAGCCGCCATGGCCGGTATTCGGCGGCGGGCGTATCGATCGGCCACCGAGCGGGCCTCCATCTCGCCACCACCACCACAACAACAAAACGCGGACACGGGTACCGGCCATCTTGGGCGAGCCTGCGCGATGCAGGCCCGCCCGAGCAGACGATGCGAAATTGCACGGATTTCGCGGACGGCGCGGACGCCGCGCTAGCCCGACGTTGATCGGCGCTCGCTCGCGGGCCGCGCCCGCAAGGCTACCTCGCCGGCACTCACCGTTTCCCCGTAGAAATCCGTCCAACGGGCACAGCAGCGATCCGGGAGAACGCCAAACGCCATGTACATATATACAAGCTTGGGTATAGCGCGATTGGCGGGAATCGCTGGGGCACGCGTCATGGCGGACCAAGTACGCCCGCCGCCATTGGTCCGGGGGACACGTGACACTTGCCGTACGCGGCGCGGGCCACGGACGACAATGTCGGCAGTCGGACGGCCATAACCTCTATCCCGCACTCCGGCTCGACTCGACGATCGACAGCCTGCAGTGTTGTGAGAACGTGAGAATCTCCGGGATCACCGCCACCGCACGTCCATGCTCCGCGACATCCGGTCAAATCTTCTGACCACCGTCCGGCTCCGTTTCCGCCGCTCGACAATTCGCCTCGTTTCGCAGGACGTCATTGGCGATTTACACCTGCGATTAGTCGTTCGTTCACGTACGCATTCTCCTCTTTTTTATCCGTCCAATGTGTTTTACGCCTCGCGCTCTGTCGAGGAGAGGATTCCGACAGCTTTGTAACTTTGTTTACGACGATAAACATGCACGTGTAATTCCGAGCTGTAAGCCAGGGTAATTTTGACCCAGATTCCGATTAATTTATCAAGCGTAAGAAATCTGGACTGTGTTAAAGGTAAAATTGATTTTTTATTGTTTTAACGTATTGTTATCTCGACGATAGATCTAACGTGACGGGGAGTTCCAACCGTTTGATTAATGATTTCAGGGACGGGACTTTTTTGGAGTACTTCCAAGCGGGGAGGGGGGGGATGGCTTCATACAAATATTTTATCTCTTTTGTTGTATCTGTGAAACATTTTCTACATATATTCTTTTATATTTAATTATATATATATATTTTTATTTTATTTTAGTTAAATACTGTTTTTTATTAAATCACTCCAAATTTCTTATTTCATGTTTTCTTATTTTATATTTCAAATGTATGAAAAATTAAAAAATATATTTGTGAAATTCCACGGGAGCTCCGGATGTAGAAAGCTCCATGCCTTCCATAAAGAAGTCTCCGTCTCTGGAAGGTTTTTGTGGAATTTATGTAGAGACTTGTTAAATTATGTTGCTGCAAACGAATATAAGTGCAAAAATTGTTAACTATGATTTTCTTAATTTTTTATTCTTTTTTAATTCTTGTTGCTGTTTGTTTGAAGTACGAAGAAGATGTTTTTGTACGAAGCATCCCTGTCGAATAGTTTTTGCTCTTAAACGTGTCTTAAAAAAATTTATTGAGTATTTTGTAAATAGTTTAATTAAAATTTTTTTACCGAAACATTGATTTATATATGTAAGTAAAAACTCTTTCGAGATTAGACCTATCTCGTTTTTTAAATATTTCACAAGTATTCAAGCGCTAAAAGTTATTGGGGCTGACTTCGGCGTTCATTCATTTCGGCACTCTTTTCACAATTTGTAATAAAACCACATTTATTTATCTATATACTAAGATGTACACAGAAAAAGTTAGCATAGTGGGAGAGAAGTACATCACAGGCACACTACTACAATGCTGAATTATTTCATAGTCATGCTTTCTAAAACCATTACAGGAAGTACATATTTTGTTCCTATTTTGTTTTTTACAATTGTTACATCTACACAGTACAAAAGTATCATTAACTAAATATAATAAATGTTGTAAAATGGCATAAAGCAGCTCTTTACATATCACATCTGGGACAGAGTAAATTAAGAAACTACGGATTTTACATCACACTGATTATCAATCGAGATTTGGATCTTGTAAATCCTTGTGAAAGCCGCGCCAGATAAAAACCAAGAAATTCTTTGAACCATTTTAATACCGCGAGATTCTTTCTCTACGAACGCATAGATCTTCGTTCCTCCGTTACAATTTCGGAATACATATATTACGAAACACAATCTGTCGCAATTCCGCTTGGTGATTTTAGAACGATATCATTTTTCTAAGGAATTCAGTTGGTGACGAATAATAATTGAAGATACTTTATTAGCCTCTAAGCCCACGGCTTGTTTTTGCTGCAATACTTTCCGTGCCAGCCAATATCGCATTGGCACTTGTCGCCCGGTTGACAGGTTCCATGTTTACACGGCTTGTTACATGCTGAACGTTGCGACGTGCGTGCGATTGCGATTTCGCAGTGATTGCCTTTGTATTCGTTCGAACATCTGCAGATGTTAGTGCCCTTGCATTTGCCTCCATTGAGACAAGGAATAACGCATTTGGCTGAAAAAAGGCCAAAAAAAAAAACAAACATGAAACAAAAATTAAAACACTAAAAATTTTCTAGATTTTACGAGCGTTCTAGATTTGACGAGACGTTCTTTGAGAACGTTATTTCAGTTATTTGTACTCACAGAATTCGCAGCGCAAGCCAAAGTAGCCCTTTGGACACTCGCATACATCCTTCTGAACACATTTCCCTCCGTTCAAACATTTATCCGCGCAGATACCTGAAATCCATCTTGATAAGAAAACCTAATTTTTTTTTTTTCAAATTTAGATACATAGAAAAATGTTGCGTGTCGGAGGACTAGGAGTACGGCTGGCCAGCACGTCGGCAGCCACGAGCGCATCTGGAAAAGTGCTAGACTCGGTAATAAGGGTCGACCACGCCGGCGAATTGGGGGCTGACCGAATATACGCCGGGCAAATGGCCGTGCTAGGTATAGTTCGCCTCGATGATACACAGATTGTAGATGTAGATGTAGATTAGGATTCCGATATTGATTGGGTTTTTTCTACGAAAGCGCAGGCAGGACGGCGGTCGGGCCGACCATACGGCACATGTGGGACCAGGAGAAGCGACATCGCGCCAAATTCGAGGAATTGATTCGCAAGCACCGAGTCAGACCGACCGTCCTCACCCCGCTGTGGAATGTCGCCGGGTTCGCGCTCGGCGCCGGCACCGCGCTCATGGGCGAGAGAGCGGCGATGGCGTGCACCGTGGCGGTGGAGACCGTCATTGTCGAGCACTACAACGATCAGTTGCGCATGTTGATGGAGAGTAGCGATAGCGTGGACGAGGAGATACTCGAGACCATCAAGAAGTTTCGCGACGAGGAGCAGGAGCATCATGATACGGGCATGGACCATGGCGCCGAACAAGCGCCGTTCTACCAAGCTCTGACGAACGTGATTAAATGTGGCTGTAAGACAGCTATCGCCATCTCCAAAGTGATATAAATGTGCATTTTCGAATGTTCAAGACTGTTAAAGATAATATATATATATATATATATACACACATATATATTATATATATTGTTGCTTGTAGATAGGGTTGTAATTTGTATAGTAATAAATTATATTTTGAGTTTCTACGTGACAGATTAATCTAATAATATGTGGGATGTCCTGAGCTCAATGGAAGATCTTTTAATCACCGATCTTTCTTACGAATGTGTAATTGATTTGTCTTTGCAATAATTCCATGAAAATATTATTTTTATGAACTTATTTGACAGAGATAATTAAAAGATTTAGATATAATTTAAAACTAACTAGAAATAAATAAAAGCATTGGTGTAATCAATTTTCAAGTGGATCTTCGTGGATTTATATAGTGGAACTGTAAAATATGTACTGACGAAAATCAACTTGTGTATAAATAATGTTACATGTACGAGGAAAATTCCAAAAGAGAGAGTGAGATCCACTTGAAAGAAATAAATTAAAAATTTTAATTTTCAAGATATGTGTATCAGAAAAATGAGACTTATCATTAATTTATTTCTTGTCTATTAGACAATTATTTGACTATCTCTATTAGACATTAACTTATCTCTCCCAATATAATTTCTCGATAGAAATTCAAGCGTTTATTCCATTTTATGAAATTAATTTCAAGATACTTTCTGCATAGAAATTTGTATTTAAGTTGTTGAATCAGCTTTACGTCTCATTTTCCACTTTTTCATTTGATATAAAATATTTTTCTGATAATGGTGTCCAACTTTATAAGAAGATAGAAATCGGAAGATACGAGATCAAGGCAAACAGTAACAACTGCGTTCTAAAGAAATTCCTACTTCTCAGACTTTATTCGCGAAAAGGTCGTAAATCTTGCGAAAACTGTTAAGGACTGTTCGTCGAAAATGTGTTGTAATGCTCATTCACCGCTTACACATCACAATGCAATTCTACACATAGGAACATGCTTTTAAAGCTATTGAAAAAAATGGAAATTCTCGAAAACATATTTCACATTTGTATGTATCTTCGCTTTTTCATCTTTTTTGAATAACTGGAGGAACATCTGTTGAAAAAAAAAACATTTTATCTGGGATCAAAAAGTAAGATACAAAATTTACTCGGCAATTTGAAGATATAAAGAAAATTGAAAATTTTTTCTATGCAAAAAATTTCTATGCTTGACATTAGACATATACACTCTTGAGCATACACTCGAATCTATTAAGAAATTATCTATGGAGAAAGTTAACGTTTTATTTAACTGTGCGATATACATATTTGGAAAATTAAAATGAAATTAAAAAATTTCATATTCCCTCAATTTATCTCTTCCAAGCGTTCACTTTACTTTTGGAAACTTCCGTCATACATTTATGTAATTTATTATACCTCCTTCGCAGTAAGGGCCTTGATATCCCGGCGGGCACGAGCACACGCCTGGCGCCGTGCAGTTACCGCCATTCATACAATTCGGATAACAAAGCGCTTTTTTACAATGAGGCCCTAAATAACCATCTGGGCATGGGCCAGGATTAGGCTCTGTAAAAATAAAATCCAATTAACAGACGGGATATTACCGCGATATCTGTACACGCATATCACACACATATACACTTACATACACATTTAATAATTATCTTTGTATACGATTAAAAACGAGAAATGTTTCGGTAACAGAACCGAACACGATCTCGTAGTTAATTCGATAAGATAACATTGTTCTAATGCATGCAATCTCATGCAGATTTTATCGAATTCCTTTTCAAAAACCATACGATAAGCCACGGAATTGAGATCAATACGATATATTATATTTTTATCTCATATTTCATATCATGAAAAGAGTATTAATGTTTTCATATAACGTAACTATTTTCTTATTTGTATTAAATAAATATTTTTTATCAAAAAGAATTATTTGAAAAACAGATCTGCTAAAATAAAATTTAATAAATGTACAATAAATTCGAAAAAAATAACAATGATTATTAACATTAAGAATAATATACAATAATTTTAATCTGTAATCAGTTTTATTACAAACGTTTTAATAATATTATGTATATAAATATTAAATTTAATGTACATTTAATAATATATATAAAAATAAATAATATATATATTTTTAAATTTTTTAAAGAAATTATGTGAAGAGATTAAAAAATGGATATTCTGTGGATATATTTAATCTCATTTCCGTAGCACATGCAAACCGTGGCTTTCTTTCAATTGAATTTTACTTATCGAGAGAGAAAGCTTCGATGTTTATTTAATTATTTCACGTTTGCACATTCGACCTGCTATGAATTATCATTGACATTATTATTACAGAGGCGATTATACGAAACATTCGAGATCATCGTATTCCGCTACGCCCATCTGAATTCAGATGAAAATAATTATGTGTCACGTGGATCGTTATTTGCTAGTCTTTTCTCATTCATGATTTACATAATAAAATTCGACCGATCGCACACGCTGAGTAATTCTTTGAATTTGACATTCGTTTATTTACTAATGTAAATAATTAATCGTAATGTAAATAATTTATCGTTGTATTTACAGGTAAAATATTCAAATAGCGGATAAACACGTACTTGACTTGATGATTAGCAACTTGAATGCACAGAGATTAAGAGAGCTGAGAATAACGCCGAGGAGGCAGAGCAGACTCGTGCGTTCTTTTGCATTAAGTAGGCAATTAGGCACTTAATTCATAATTCGCGGGCGAACAATGACTCGAGGAAGCGTAGAGCTGGCTAACGCTTAACAAACAAAGTGCCAGGCGAGACGAAACAAAAAAAAATGAATGCTAATGTAGAATATACAAGCGCAAAAAAAAAACGGGGAAAAAATGACCGATCTGTAGTCGTGTTTGAGTGAAAAAAAATTTTTTTAAATGTAAGCCAAAGCGAGTATCCTTCGAACGTCAGACGAGATAATAAAACGGTTAATTGCGAAAGTGCCAAGTTGCGAAATGAAAAGCAAGGATTGACGCTGACATAATTTCCGCCGAGCTCACGTTCGGACGCCGCGTGCATGCGACGATGATCCTTATCCGCGGATATAACGCGGCGTCTACAATGAGACTTGAGACTTAAGATTTAAGAAAATTGACTAATCATATTCTTACGTGAGAAGAATAATCAATTGTGATTGGTCGATTTTCTTAAATTTTAAATCGTAAGTCTCATTGTAGACGCCGTTTAATGGAACCGCTCGGCGCGAGGTCCTATTTCACGTGTATACACGCGGCATCGTGGAGGTCGAGAGCTCACCGAAATTACATTCGATCCTTGCCCGTTAGCGACGCTTGCCTCAATTTAATACGTCTGGATACAGCAAGAAGAGCGATCGACATTACTTAATACTTTGCAGTCGTAATTAACGTAATTGCATGTAGACAGTTGTATTATATTACTGTTTGTAAGGTAGCGTTAATAGAATCTAGCACTGAACGAGAATGCTTTTACGCAAAAGGTAAGCCTCACAAAAGCGGTCCACGTTTCCACCTTGCGAGCGGCGATGGGTCCCAAACTAATGCGCGAAATTCGGAGGTCCATCGAGGTGCCTCGTTGAGGTGCGACATTACAGAAATGACAGATGTATTTATCGAGATCTTAAAGATCCCTTGTTCTCTCTTTTCCCCGTTGTTTCGTTTGACATCACGATGCACAATAATATGAATGCACACGAAGTTTTGTTCACGGAGAGAATTTTTTTTTTTATTTACCCTGCAAATCATGTTAATTGTGGGACAATATAGTACTTAGGCAAATTTTACTGTGCACTACAATAAATTTTACTGTATTTTACTACTGTCATATTTATTTTAGTGCACAGTAAAATTTTCCTAAATACTATATTGTCCCACAATTAACATGATTTGCAGGGTAAATTAAAAAAAAAAAAATTCTCTCCGTGTTGGGACAAACGCGTTCGCAGAAACCCGCGAGAATTTTGGGACTCTCAATTGATTCTCAAAGAAATCTCTTATTTTCCTCCGTTCCCGCAATTATTACCTCAATTAGACGCTTGCAAGATTCAAGATGCTCCTTTTTCCGACGTGGCGAAGAAACGAGCACGCGCGTGTACAAAATTAGCCGCCAGTATATAAAATTAGCCTCGAGTTTCACGAGGGCGTTTAGGAAAAGATCCAAAGTCGAAAGTTAATCGCTACTCCCTTTGACACCTTGACAAATCGCGGCACCCTCCGCGTTTGGACCGCGGGGGAGGAAGGGGAGGGGGGGGGACTTCGTCGCGACGATCGAGGCTCGGAGCAACCGTTTAACGTCGTGGCATCCATAAACGTCTCCCGGAGATTCGATGCGCCTCCCTCGCACAATTATATCGGACCCATCGTTCCGGCCGGCAGGCGGGTGTGCAGGTACAGGCAGACAATCTTTCTCTTACAAAGTATCAAAACGTGCGCTCACACGCGCGCATTTCGGATACATGCCACGGCTGTCGATTAAATAAAAATAAAAAAAAACAAGAGGAGAGGCAGTCGGAACGAATGTATAGGTACACCATGCGCGAACCGTCGGATTTCGTGGGCGCGCGTTTCACGCGCTTATATGTATACGCGAACGCGACGCGTAAAACGTCCTCGCGAGGACGAGGATCCAGGCGCCGAGAGAGCGGACTCCCGTGGCCGAGGGGGACGTTCCCGACTGCCTCTCCCGCATCTCGGTCAAAAGCATGCAGCAAATTAGGCGATGAATTACTGCTGATACAGAACTGTATGTGCGAGTGAAGAGGTGGTGATCGTGGCCGCGACTGACGCACTCACCGCGCACGGTGCATTCTTTTCTCAAACTGAGACGGAGGGGCGTCCCGTTTAGAGGTTTCCCCTTGAGGGTCTCGATCATCAGACCGATCCCGAATTGCGCTACGCCCGAAGTGCCGGCGCAAGGTAGAAGAATGCTGAACTCTGCAACGGAAAAACAAATCAGGGTGAGATCTGCTCGCTGCGCAGCTGAACTTTCTCTCATCTCCCATCCCCGTTTTCTTTCACCCTCCAACGATCCTCGTTCGATCGATATACATACGCGTTTTTCATTTTAACTTTAACTTTTAATTTTTATTCCATTAAAATGTTTATTGAAATTTTAATTTAATTCACGTTTTCATGTTTTGCACGATGCACGTTTAATTCATTTCACGTTAATTTTTATTTTGATTTCAGAAAACGCGACTAAGAACAGATCCATTGTAAGAGTTTCGGTTCTCACAGTTCGATCTCTTCGGCGGCGCGCGACGCAATATTTACTCGATCTAAGAGAAAATTATAAAAGTATATTTTATATACGATAAATAACCGGACATTTTATCGGTTAAATATTCGATAAAATATCTTATCGCGCGAGTAAATATCCGATCTAAGAAGAAATTGCGCGCAAATCTACGGATGTTTCAAATTTTATCAGTCAAACTGTCGACGCATTGATCTGTAGAGTAAAGATAAAAAAATGGTTATGTAACTATATACAAACATAAAACATTTTATTTAAAAATATAGAAATAATTATCTTCGATTAAATACGATATATTAAAAAATGTGAAATATTCGGTAAACAGACTCGAACATATAGTCTCGTAGTTAATGCGACGAGATAACATTGTTCCTAATGTATGCAATTTCATGTGGATTTAACCAAATTCTTTTTCATCGTACAAGACAAGTCGATGATATTTTTCTTCAATGTATTTAAATGAGCTACGTTTAGTGTATTTAAAATCGTTGAAAAATCGTTAAAAAATCATTGAAGCTAAACTTAGTCCTTGCAAATGTTACATTAATTTAATTGCTCCAAATCTTCTGGATTATCTTCGGACAAAAAGAAAACGCGAAGTTCTATACATCGCACTATACAGAAATATCTTCTCTTAGATCAGGTAGATTTCATGCCGCGCGCGCCGACAAAAGGCGTCTTCACCTTTGGCTGTGTAAATAAGGACCGTCGGAAAGGGGGGGGGCGAGGGGGGGAGCACGACAGCGCTTATGCAACGCCGCATAGAAAGATAAAAGTTAATAACGAAACGAACGTATTTGAAATCGCGTCTGCATTATGCGAGACCTCGTTATTTTAGAACGTGAAAGTGGCGGGATGTCGTGGGCAAAAGGACATCCCCAAGGCGCGAACGTATTCGTGAAAATGATGACATTTTACCGCGCGCGATAAAAGGCCGAAACGTGCATTAGAGGCATTTGGTATTCAGCCCACGGAGTGTCCAAATACACATTGACTGACAAACGAAAACGCTATTAGCGCGTTAACGCTCATTGGCGCTAAGCGAAAAATAACCACACGAGCAAGACGGATGAATGCGCTTCGCCGTAATTTATGATTATTCGAATCTTAGGTCGTTTTTTTACCTCGTGTAAACCATTATTCCGAATAAAAAACCGCGGACGTTTCTCTCGTATATTTAAGCTCCGACAAGCTTGTTCTCCGCTGCGATATATATTTCTGTCTTGCGAGGTCTCGATTTTATTATCTTCTCTTTTCTATAAATATTTCACGTTTTTATTATTAACATACGTGATGTTGCGCTTAATATAAATTCGAGCGCTTTAAATGATAATTCTTAATAATTCTTTTTTTTTTATAAAGTTCTAAAAATTGAACACGCGACGGATTCTTTTCGAAATGTTTGTTAAATCGCAAGTTCTCATAAAATCATTTATTACGCATAAAATTAGCTTCTTCACAGAGCTTACAATTAGATATATTTGATATATATAGATAAATCTTTACCTTTCGGTCTCTTAGGCACCCGTCCTTGCTTTTTAATCGTGATGGATGGAGTTTTCAAGATGCTCTCGTCGAACGACTTTAAACGAAAAAAGTTGTAATAGTACTTTTTTACTCCTGACTTCCACGTAAAGTTCACGTGCGACACCTCGCTCGGAATCATCGGCAGTTTACTCTCAAAATCCGGATCCAAAATATAAGCGAGCACTCGGCCTTCCGCAATCGCGTATATTTCCATTGCCAGCCCTGCATTAGCCATGAAAACAGTTTCAAGACTTTACATTGATGTTTTTACGAAATTTCCAACGTCACTGACGACGCGTTGCCCGATACCACGAATAGTGTCGGATTTCTCTCTCTCACTCTCCTCTCTCTTTCTCTCTCTCTTTTTTTTTCTTATTTATTTATCTAACAGATACATTTTTTTTTTGCACCGGACTTTATCAAAGGTATTTATATCTCAATTATTATCTCAAGTGGAGCGCATCGCGGAGCATCGGAGCAGCGATGGACCGTACGAAGAAAGGGGGTCACATATCAGGCTATTAGGGGAGAAGAAATCCGAGAGGATCACTCGACGTCAGTGTGTGTGATACTGTACTACCGCTAAACATCTTGATTTGTTGCTGGTTAATCCAGAGGGAGATGTCACCGGACGGCTTCCCGGAGTGGCCGGGGTTCCCGGAGCGGTGCTGGTGCCGGGCGAGTGCCGCGTCCAGGAGAAGGGCCAGCGCCGCCGCCGCGGCCAGGGCGGCCGCAGCCGATCGCATAATAATTGCCCGCGACGTGCCCCGCTCAGTGCCGCCGCCGCCGCCGCCGCCGCTGCCGCCGCCGCCGCCGCCGTCGCCGCCGCCGCCGCCAGGTGTTGCACGCACACCGGGTGAGCACGGGTGAAGGAAGGCCGCCCCTACTCTGGCAGTCGCCGCGCGTGCACTGGCGGTTAACGCGCAAACGTTCCCGGGCCGCCTCCCTGTAGTTCAACGTGCCGGCGTGCGTGCCGTTGGCGATCCGACGCGTGAAATCGGCGGATTTCACGGGGCGCGCGCGCGCGCGCGCTCACGGGACACGATCGCGGCGATCGCGCGTCTCCTCTCCGCGACCGGAGATGCCGGAGATCCCGCGGTGATTTCAACGCACGGTTGTCTACCCCCTGATCGGTAAAACAGAGAACAGAAAAAGGGTGAAGGAAAGAGAGCGAGAAGGGGTGAGAAAGAGAAAAGGGAAAGAGAGAGAGAGAGAGAGAGAGAGAGAGAAGAGAGAGGAACACAGAGAGGCGCGCGAACTCTCCTCTCGCTTACGAACGGCGCGCGATGCGTAACGATGCGCGCGAACCGCGTCGCTCCGGCGGACTGACTGACTGACTGACTGACTCTCAATGAGAGTCGAGGCACGCGGAGCGAGTAGCAAAACCTCTCCGTGGAGCGAGATAGAGATCTCGCAGACGGACCCGGGGCACGCCGGGGAGCGAGAGCGACGCGCCGCAAGTTAAGGCTGCGTGCACAATGTGTTCGGAGTCCGTTTTGCCAATATATATCTTTCCCCCCCCCCCCGCGCGCCCGTACATCGCGTGCTTTTTATATTTCACTATCTCGAACTATACGATCTATAATTTACAACGAAATTCAAAGTAAAATACTATTTATAATTTTATGCCGTGTATTTTTAAATGTATTTTAAAATATGTTTATGTGTGTGTGTTTTAAATCTTTAAACGCTTTTTGTACCACACGATATATAATTATAAAAATTCTAAATTATGATTAGAATTCTATTCTAATTCTATTCTGAAGTTGAACGCGAGTTATATATAGATCGTTTTCAAAAAGAGCTTTACTCAGTTATATACGTTAATTTTATTAACTTTTCAAAGTTTATTAATTCATAATTTTATGTTAAATAACAAAAGAAAAAAGGTGAATAAAGATTTAGTTTATATTTGCAGTATCTCGTTCTATCATAATATAAACCCACACGTGAAAATAAATAAGGACTGAAAGTAATTAAATCGATTTAAAAGTAAATGAAATATTTATTTAAAATTAAATCAATATTGCTCCAATATAACTGCGATTGACTTAAAGTCAGTCTACATGAGTTTCTTCTCATTTATTTTAATTTAGATTTTTAGATCAGTTGCAATTTCAAGAATGCTTAAAAATTGCATTTAAAAGAATCCGTACACACGTTCAATTTTTGGAAGTTTATGAAAAAAAAATAAATTATTATTTTTATTAAGTTTTATAAAACATTCCAAGTTATGCTAAGCGCAACATCAAAATTTTAAGAATGTTCGTTCGTAATCAATTAAAGTATGATGCAATTTTTATAATTTAATGTTTCCTATTTTTAATCTTCGAAACATCTGCCTGACTTGTGATCTCTTCACTTACTTCCTTTCTTCCTCGTGATTAATTAAATTGGGAAAAATTACGAAGTCTCGCTACATTTCTCGTAGCTTGATCGCGCTTACAAATTAATTTGTCATAAAACGCAAATTAATTTTTTTGAATCATTAATTTGTAACAATCGTAACTATCCGTTTTTAAGAAAATCGTTTTAAACGATTTTGTCAAAAGCTATATACGTACATACAGATACGCGGAAATCGAAATTCGAATTATAACTAAAGAAGTGATAAGAAATCTTGACGGAGGGAACCAGTTTTTAACATCTTCCGTCCGATCGCGCCGGTTCTCTGTCGTCTCTCCTGCTCATCTCTCTTATGTTTTCCCCTCTCTCCCATTTCTCATATCTTGTCGACAATTGAATTTTGCTTCCGTGTCGTAAATTCGCCACGTCATGCGCTTGCATCATTATTCTGTCCGGCGCGTAAAATGTTGAAATTGTGAACATTTCTGCGTATAAAAAATTGATACGAATTAAAAAAAAAGATCAAGGAAACATTGGGAGTTGATATTTGATGACTTGAAAACTGAATATAATTGTGATTGGCAAAACCGTTTCTTATTTCTATTTCACAAATTTTTCTTATTTTATAATTTTTAAGTTCTTATTTTTAATATATTTTATATTTAATATATTTCTACTACCACATACATTCGATGATGTTACCACGAATTCATATATGATTCTCGCGGAATCTCATTTGCGGCGTAGACACGTGAAAAGTTCACGACGAGGCGAGACAGTTTCCCCGAGACCGATAATAAAGTTTGCATTCATCGATAATCGGAACTAACTGGATCAGATCTATTTCTAAACCGATCGGACGAGATAGCCGCGTCCTCAAGAGCGGCCCCAATGAATTACCAATAGTATAGCCGTTGTATCCCCGGTGTCGAGGGATGGGCCACAGCTAACAAGTGGTCCATTGTTATCCTCCGGCTAAGGTTTCCGTCTCTCCCATCTCTCGTCTTCTTCCTGCTTCGTCTTTCTTCTTCCGGTACGTGCACTACGACCGTGAACATTCCGAATATACCGTCGCAGATTTTTTGAACGCACGTTCCTGCAGGAACGTTCAATTTCACTTGTATAAAACATTCCGTGCCTTCTTTACGACTGTCACTCTTAGTAAAATAGTCCTGCAGCAAAAAGAAGTCCAAAAGAGATTTTTAAGATATATCATTCTAATCATCCTTTCAAATCTGGAGAATTTAGAAGCATATTTTCGTGTCTATAAAAAAAAAAAAGAATTAAATTTGAAGTGACACTATTTTTTTCACTCGTTTTTCAATCGAACAATTTTATGAAGAAACATAAGTTGTATATCGATCAGGGTGCTGTGATTTCCTATATCAATCAACGAGAGATATCGCACGGATATTTTTCTAGATATAATTTTATCTTCGTAAAACATTCGATATCTGCATCTCTCAACTGCAGAAATGTCTAGCGAGAAATCTGTAAGACTATACCTGAATCACTCTTTTGAAACGCGGGAATTTATGGGGACATTTTCGTTTTTTCTGTAAAAAAAAAATAATAATAAGAGGAAACTGAATTTCGTGTGGCATTACTATTTCTCGTTTTTGCCCGCCTTGCAATCGCACAATTTTATGACGAAACCGTAAATTCGTGTATATACGACGCGTGATTCTACGCACCGTTCACGGTGCAGCTCCGCGAGAGCGGCCGACAGCGAATTCAATTAGGATTGCGGCGGCCGTGCAAAAACATTCGATCAGGAATAAACCGGCGCTGCCTGCCTGCCTGCCTGCTTGCGGACGCTCTTATAGCTCGTCGGCTTTCCAGTTCGCGAGCCCATGTATAACGCGTATGGGATCGGAGATCAATCGTACGTTTTATCATCGTGGATTCCTCTCGTGTGGCAGACACGGTGACTCACAAAATCGTACCCGGATCGTACCATTGTTATACGAATCTTTTTTTTTTTTTAAATTCGGTGATCGAAGATATTCTGTAACAAGATTGTAGATATTTGTTATGTTGATGTTGAAAGACTGTTTGTCGTCAATTGCTCCTCTTCAAATTGGTTATAGACACTGTTGTGCAGTAAGGTAAACGTACCAATGACTGAACATGTATCTATCGGAACACGTACACAAAATTTATTAATTTAATAATAAATAATAATTTAATAATTAATTTAATAAATTTTGAGATTATTGATTAATCAATAATCTCAAATACTTTTTTTATTACAATATTTATTGTAATTAAAATTTAATTGTAAAAATATTTAAAGATTACAATTAAATTATAATATTATGGAAAAAGCATTTAAAAATAAGTTTTTGTGTACGTGTTCTGGTATAGATACATGTTCAGTCACTAATACATTTACCTTACATTTTATCAGTTTCGTAAATCAATCTCCGATTATCACTAAAATTTTCAGTAAGCGCTATGCAGAATACTTTCTTACTGAATGCGCTTTCCTTGAAATATGAATTCTTCAGTCAAATTTCTGTCGATTTTATCTTAACGAGAATACTCATATTTTTTTTTTCGAAACTTATAACAACCCAGGCAACATAAAGTCCAACATTGCGACATAAGTTTTACCGATGTCTAAAAGACATTTTAAAAATATCTTTGCGAGAAACGTCTGAAAGACGTCTAGATAACGTCTTTTAAGAGATGTCTCATGTCCCAATTTTGGACTTTATGTTGCCTGAAAAATATGTAGAAATCAAGAGACATGTAAGTGTTTCGTGCCAAGTACATATAAAAGATGTAGCAACCCGCGTGAAAGAACTTATATATAGGTATATACCTTCATTTAACGTATTTGACTTTTTTTAATTCCACCTATTTTTTTATATTTATTTTTTCATTATAATTTTTGTCAAGCAGAGAAGAAGGTATTTCTGTGGTAAAAATTTTTTCGACGTAGATTTTAGTCAAATAATTCAATTTGTGAATTTCGGACAACGATGGATTCTCAAGCTTCCAGCTGTTATCTTTGTCCGATGCTAAATGATATTACGAGCGATCGAAAAGTTACCGTTCGATGCATGCGTTCGTTTAGCGCAGTTATATTTCTGTGGACGCGGCTCGGATTGTGCCTCCCTTTATTCTCCCTCGATCCTTTATTCGTCTGTAACCGCGACGAGGGAGAGGAAGAAAGAACCCGTAGTAGCTCAGATCGAGAACACGGACGCAAAAAACCTGTCCGGCATAATCGCATTATCGGTCACATCTTGCTCGATTTCTGTGTTCGTTTAGTGGAATTAAACCCGACGATTGTATTCTATTCTTAAGAATAATGTAGTTGTCCTCGAGAGTAAATAAATAAATTTGAAAGCTACCTGAACATTCTGTGAACAAAAATGAGAAATACAAGATGAACACAATGCACTTGCATTGTATTTAAAATCGTATGTACATTAAAATTACATATATTTGATATAATAAATATTTTCTATATCTATGTATATTAATAAATTATAGACATATATGATACGTATAAATGTTTATAAATATGTATATCTCAGAAATAAAATAAATATATATTTATATGTATAAAATTACACATGCAATGTAAAAAATTATTACATTCACTTAATATATAAATATATATATAATAAAAAAATTAAAGTGCAAACTTGAATTGTAAAATGTTCTTTTTATTACAGCTAATGTTTAATAACTTTAAAATAATAATTTTAATAACTCTGAACGCGCTTTAAAGCCTAACGCGAGTTACGAGTCTAAAACAACCTGTACTATAAAATCAGTTTTATGGGAGTGTGATCAATCGAAATCGCCACGAATTGGAATTATTGGACGGATGGAGTGAACTGCCGTAGGTATACATACATTTTTTGTGAATTTCCTTTCGTTTTTTATTCTCTTTCTTTTTACTTTACTGACATGGGAGTTATGCGGGCAAATATCGGGATGCGTATCAATGCGATCGCGTTCGTGAATGAGTAACTTAAAGATTAAGAGACACAATTATTCGCTTAATTATCATACAAAGTAGTGATATCTGGATCTCGAGTCCTCGCTTCTTCACGAGGAGACGAGAGGATTCAGTGCAGGGTGGCCCATCCGATCTCACGCGCGCGCGATTACACTCTCTTGGGTGCGGACGAAAATGTTCGCGATGAAAGTTAGGCCATGTTGTGCCTCTTTGTATTGCTTGCAACTTCTGCGTAAGTGATTTCCGATATGAATTCGATCGTTCGAAAGCGCCACGAGTGGATGGACGGCCCTGCGCGTCACCCGTATCCCTGGACTGTCTTTCTCTTTTTTGCGGATCTCTTTATCTCGTAGAAAAATTATCTAAAAATCGCGACGCGAGAATGTACGAATGCACTCTCTATAGCTGCGTATGTAATATATAAACGGCGAAAAACACACCGGCACGTCAGTAAATATCAGCATAATATACAATGAAGGATTCGCGCGGTAAACGGGCACACGTGGAATTTTTACGTCATTGAGATTCAACGCTTTTTGCGTTGGCTCTTTTTATAGCAGCCGCTCTGGAACGGCGATCGTAATATAATACCTTTAAGTAACGAATGTTCGACGAATATTGAGGTGTGTCGGAAAGTTCGAGACACACGTGAATAGGAACGCTAATTATCGACGATGGGACTTGATAAGGAGACCATCCTCGCGTTGCCTCGCTATCACTTAACAATAAGGACAGTCGATATTATGTGTGGCGATGATCGCGATTGAGCTAATCGAATGAACACTTTGTGTATATTATAAAATAATTGAGATTCATTTATAAAAGTGCGCTATAAAAAGAGTCAAGGCTTTTTACATTTACTTTTTTCCCTTGGAGTAACGACGTGTGCTCGTTGTACAATGAACACTCTTTAATAAGTCACGAATCGTTTCCCTTGTTAACGCAATCTAATATCAAAAGCAGAATAGCAGTAGATATTCTCGCCCTCCGTCGAGGTAAACACGAGATACCTCGGAAATTCAGTCGGAAAGACCGATGGCTGCCGCAAAGCGCGCGTCTATTATAAATACGATCGCGCAAAAAACGCAAATAATTTTTGCTATACAAAGTATAAAATTATTAAAAAAAACGGAAAAGAAATACAAAAGAATAATACAACGTACGAAAGTAGTACGAGTTACTCGTACGAGGTGCGAAAGTATTGGAAGTTTCATATATATGTATGTATAATTATATATATATGTATACATTAGCTCTCAACGTGTCTAACTGATGGTATTCAACGTGCAGAATGAACGAATCTCGCTATATTTCGGTAAATATCGAGGCTAGCGCAATAGAAAAATACTCTAAGAATGCAAAACGCGCTCGTGTGCATGTGTTGTGTATGTGTGACTTGGACATCGAGATTCGAAACGTGTCATGTCGTCAATTTCGCCATGGTTATTGTTGCCAGCGGTCGTACATTAAGATATCGATTCGAGAATACGGTCTTACATTGTATTTGTCTATGTGACTGCAGTTACCGATTGCAAGTTCAGAGATTGCACAGTTGTACTATTGGTAGCGCGACATTAGATTTTCACGCGTATCGTTAATATTGCCTGTCATTGATTTTCATTGATATACACGCATATCATAAATCTACAAGGTTGTAGTATCGCATCGGGTGAGTTCATAAGTAATTTCTTCGGTCGAGCGTGACGCCGATCTGCCCATCTTTATCATCTTTATCGTCGCAACCGCCTAGAGGTTTATGTTCTATCTAATTAATTAGTAAGCTTTTTTTTCAACGTCAATATGTAATAACATCGTAACGGACATATAATAATACAAAAACGGTCATTTCTTATTATGATAAGCCAATATTACGCATTGGGTCGAGTCGTAAGTAACTTCCATTCCTTTTATATACTTTCATATCTATCTGTTTAGCCTTTCTGCTGAAATGTCTGAATTGTACGACATATGTTTTGGTCCTCCATCAAAGTCAAATCAAGAAAGATGAGTTATCGTTGGTTCTTTTTTTTTTAAGTCATACCTCCGGAAAAAATCATGAAAATTGTTTCCACGCTGGTCAAACTGTCAGCACCACATGCGCTGAATATGTTTCTTGACTTTTTTCAGCCGTCACCTTAGCAATTATTCCTTTGTTTGAATTCCCAAAGAATCGCGTGGCGAATGGCACTTCTAAGTATTTCCATTCTACTCTTTTAAAAATCATATACCTCGCTTTCTTCTTGCTTTCAGCAATGAATCTCCTACCACTAGGGTTGCAGGGTATCATATTTTAATACACGTTTTAAAAGAAGGGTTGTTTAGAGTCCGCTAATAAAATAAAAAAAGTCGCTTGCCAGGGTGACTCATTTAAAGGATTTCTCGAAAAGATGAAATATTTGGTGGAAAATATTTGCGACTCGATCCAACAATTGGAAAGTAATCTTAATCGTGTGACGTCCAAGTCACCTGTACAGGATGTTCGGCAAAAAAGTTCCATAACAAATATATTTCAATTAGAAGAATAATTCTGTATTCAGCATAAGGACGTTATTCTTCGTTAAGAATTCATTCGTGAAAAGATCCTGTCCTGTCCGGTATATGATATATCATTTAAGAATACTATACTTCGTGATTCTTCGTACATACGTATTATAAATATTATACACTTTGTACCTATCTTTGTTTCACTTTGTACCTGACATATTTGCTTGCGACACTTTTGCAGACAACCTGTACATCGCATTGACTACATTAACTTAACGGTTATCTAAACAAATTGTACAAAATTGTACTTAAAGGTCTAAACAAATTTTAACATCCCATACACTAAGTAATAATAATTATAGTTGCTCTGTTGTGATCGTCGCGTCTTTTTTTTTTTTAAGAATTACTCGCATAATAATTCATAATTAATATATATAATATATATAATGTCTCTCTCTCTTTTTTTCCGTCCCTTCATCTTTCTATATATATATATTTATATATTTAATATCTTCATATATTAAATAATCATGTAGCATTATCTTATAATTATTGGATTATAATAAAATTACCGAAAAGCAAAGTAAACTCTCATAAAAATAAAAGGGTTCTTCGTCGAAGCATGTTTCACATACAAAAAGCAACAGTTATACTTATAGAGGCCTTGCGATTTCTGTTATCTACTTATAGTGCATTATACAATCTTCTCTTTAATATTACTTTACTCTTTACTATCTTTCGCGTATCCTTACTGTTCGCGCATGCACGCGTCCACATGTGTGTGTAAAAGTGTGTGTTTGTTATTAATGAAAGTGTAAGTGCATGATAATTAGAGATTATTATTCGTTCATTTAGATTTGGCCCTTTTTCGGCAGAGTAAAAAGTCGATCGCGGCTAAAGGTTCTTAGTGTAACCGTCCATTACGAGATTAAAGTTAAAATCAGTCGAAGCCAGATTGCGACACTATCTTTTTACAGTAATTCTTCATTTTCCAGATTGCATGTACATATACAGCGACAATCGTTAATACAATGGGCATCTTACATTCGAATCAGAAATCAATTTTAATATGCAAAATTTATCGTATTATAATATTTTTAATATTAATAATTTACTTGAATTTAGGAAATCAAGATTTTCCTTTTTTTATTGATTTCAATGATTTTTTTTTTTAATGCAAACGCTTATCAGTTATCACAGATTATACGTATTCCATTTAAAGCAAGGGATCATTTTTGCAGATCGCATGTTAGAAGTAAATAGTCATGGTATTATAGGTATTTATAAATTTAATATAAGCACCAAGATTTGATTCTTTGTGGATATAATTAATTTTTAATATAATCATATTAACGTGTTAATAGGATAAAAGAATTTTGAAAATAAATTTTGTAGTCCTATTGCTTATCTTTATACAAGTATTTAAATCTCTTAAAAACAATTTTTTTCTTCTATTATACTTAATTAACGTTTTATATTTTTTTATAGGGAGAAACATCTTTTTTCTTTTTTAATTAAATATTTTACGTAAAATATTTAATTAAAAATAAATAAGTTTTTAAACGTTATTGTTCGTATCCGATCGGATTATTTTAATGTCACACAAGTCTTTTCTTATTAACATAATCTACTTGGCAACCAAAAATTTAATTTAAAAAAGAAAAGAAAAGCAAATTTCTAAAATTCTAATGATAATTAACAAAAAAATTACTTTGGCAAAAAAATTATTTTAAAGATAATATAGTACTTGTATCAAAATAAGCAATATTTATTGTTTCGAAATGAATTTCTACATTATTTTAATTAGAGCAATATATTTGTTTATATAAAAAAAGATATACACACGTTTCATAAAAATAGAAACCAACGTGAAATTTAGAAATCATATCATGTAAAGCATTAGATTCTACATGCAGTCTTGAAAGTATTTCGCATTTGCACAAGTTTTAGAAAAACACGGATGCAATTCGTATACCTCCAGTCACTAATCAGAGTGTCTAATTCAACCTGGCTTTGTCAAAGATATTACGGTCAATGCTAGAATAGTTTCTACAGTACTATTTCCATAAATAGCTTGCACGCTATGAAACACCTACAACGTTCTTGGGTTTTATAATTAAAATGGAGATAATTCTATAATTGATCGTCACAGCACTTGTGATAGTGTATACGAAGTAAATAATCGTTATACCAAAAAATTAATCTTTCATATATTACTTCCGTTGTAAAAAAAAATCTAGTTAAAAAATTTGGAATGTAGTATTTTAATTCCATTAAAAAAAAAAAAAAACTCAAAATCAGTGACGATCTATAATACTTCAAGTCATTGTAAAAGACAGTCATGGTTCCTACAGAAACTATAAAACCCAAAACCCCAGAATCTAATTGGCAGTATAGTGTTGGACGTTGCGCCCAGCGCAAGGTGCATAGCAGAGCGGCTGCAATAGCCAAGGATCGGGAGGATCCTTAACCGTAACGAGAAAAAAATTTTTTTTTATGCGGCTTTGATTAAGTTAGTTGCGGATGTTACACGTACGTGGCCATAGTACCAGTTGGAATAGGTGGTGTCTCCTCTGGTCTACCTTTAGGTCCGTATTGTCCAATGAAGGATCCATCCTCCGTAAAACGTCCTAGAACAAACAACGAATTATTCTATTATTTATGCAGAAAAGTATATAAAAATTTAACGCTATGTATGTGTATATATGTAGTTTGTTTTATTTTTAAATGAAGTAATAATAAACATTGCTATAAACAAACATCAGCCTGCAGATGTTACACAAATATGTTAATTTTCAAATTAATTCAAACATAGATGCAGCGAGGTAAGTGTTAAAAGAATGTTGGGGAAACTCAATATGAAAGCGATCGATTCGTAGTCGCGGCGGGACCGATCTTGGTCCTTCATCCCCCGTATGTTTCGACTTTATGCAAGATTGATTGGAGAATTATAAAAAGAGTGTGAAAGGTGAATGTTCTTGAAAGGTAACTCGTTTTTTATATTTTATATCGTTTCAACCATTCCATTACAAGAACTGTTTGTTGAACTTACCTTAGACTAGAGTAGCAAATGCTTGGGAATTTGGTTCCTGCCTACGGTGTCGGCCATACTGACCAATGAAAGAACCGTCTTCGTTCATGCCCTCTGTGTTGAGTCAAGCAATGAAGCAAATAAAATGTAATAACGAAATATACATGATAAATTGAAACTAAAATAGTCTAAAGCAAATATATGTGTAAACAAATATAACTTATTGTAGCTGCGGCTGTGAAGTGTATACAAAAGGAAAAGCGATCACAAGATTTAAATAAGTGTGAAAATGAACTCAGCCGTGCTCACATGAAATATGAGACTCGCTATCTCTATTGTGCTCTCTATACGAAAGTATTAAAAAATGTTACGAACATATTAAAATTTGGTGCATTTGTCTGTGTTGTAACAAAGATTCACAATAATACGTACCCTATTTTATAAAAGTTAAAGACTCTTCCAAATCCTTTCTTTTTTTTTTAGTTCCTCTATTCTCAACTGATATATTGTATAAATAAATTTTCCCTCTTGCGCTACTCTTTCTACTATCTTTTTGCTACGACAATGTATTGTATAAATTATACTTTGTTTTTTATTTATTTATTTTACTCTAGACGGATTATGCACGCAACATTCTGTGCATGTATTAGAATATAAATCGAAAAATTGAGACTAGAGGATTTATTTAATTCCAATAATGTAAAATTAGAGAGATCGTACCAGAGGATTGTAACAATACGTCATATACATGTATAGACGCAACTCATAATATTTGATATTAAAAAAATACGTGCAGCAAATATTTTTAATCATGTACTACTTGTGTATACCGAGGACTCTAATACCAGAGATATATATTCTTTAACGACTTCAAATCTCGTGGAATTCTAAACCAATTACCTGTATCACCATCGCCATACTCCGCCATGGAATCGGTGTCGGACTCAGGATGTTTACCATCCTGATGAGAAGAAGACGCCAAGGACGCACGTCCGCCAGCCGATTTGGTGTCCAATGGTTGCGAGTACTCATGGAATCCACCCTCATCGGGATAATCTCCACGTCCAGCGGCCAATTCTCGCTCGTGCACCGCGTACTTTCCACCTCGGTTTCGTTTAATCACGCACACGATTATCAGCACCAAAAGAAGGATGGCAATTGCCAGCATCATTCCTGCGAAGATATACAATGTTCTTTATATGTTCCAACGGTCAAAAAAAAAAAAAGATTAGTCTAAAAATTTAATTAAAGAGAAAAACATTACCTATGAACCAACCGGCCGTCGCGACATTTTCCTTCGGTTGAATAATGGGTCCTTCGCTACTTGTCTCTACTTCCTGAGGAACACTCTCGGTCATATAGTCTCCGTCGACAGCGACAACCGTCATCACATAGACTTCACCGCTTTGAAGACCGCGAATCTAGGTGATTCAGCATTTTTCAATAATAGTAATATTTATTTATCTTGTTTATAATAAAATTTGAAATATAGTTAGGTTAACTGAAAATAGTAATTTCATAAAAAATTCATAAAATATGAATTTAATAAATACAATATTAATCACTAATTTGGGCACAATACGATATTCTTAAGACTCTAATACGATAATATCTAAGATACTAGAAAGAGTTGTGATTAATAGGGTTCTTTAAGGAGGTTCTTAAGGATCAGAAAAAGTGTTGCACGTAAATTATTGTTAACATACCTCAATAGTATTCGAGTGGAACTCGGGATCCGTCCGCAAAAATATCGTCTCGCCTCTCAGTTTATACTTGACGAAGAAATGGCTTCCCGGATTACCGTTCAAATTCGGCAACCAAATGACCCTTACGTTTGAGTAACCGTTCTCCACTGGCACAGTTTCCCATGTAAATTGTGGGACGTCAGGTCGTAGAGACATTCTTGTCTTTTGCTCGATGAAATAGCTACGCAAATACATTAAAACACCATAAGTATAAACATACGCAAAATGACATGAAACAATGTCTAATCGCGTTACATATGTTGGTAATGTTTAACGTTCCTGTAACTCAGGCGACCACTTACTCATTGCCTTCCCCAACTCTGGTTGTGGCACGTATGTGAACGCGATATACCGTGTCAGGCGCTAATGTGGCTAATTTGGCACTCGTGGCTTGCGGATCCATAACATGCGGCTTTCTCTCGAATAACGTTCCCAACTTCGTGCCGTTCACAACCTGATAATAAATTTTATATCCGGTTAAAATACCATTCGGCTCTGCGGGCCGCGACCACACCAGGAACAGCGCGCTGGATCCCATGGGGAATGCTTCTAGATTGAGCACTGTCCCCGGCACTCCCTCCGGTGTGTCAAAACTTAGAGTCTCGGACGCAGGACCCGAGTACCTGGCACGAAACAAACGACATTTGAAGACGAGGCAGCTAAAGCAAAATGTGACAGCGATATGATAACCGAATTGTTGTTACCTGCCGTTGTAAGCGAGTATCCTCACGAAATTTTTACTATATGGAACGAACTTCGTGACTAACGCTTGCGTTTTATTTCCACCGCGAATATCAATCTCGCGCATTCCCTTCTCGCCATCCTTATCCGTCCACGTTTGAATCTTGTATCCTTGCAATTCGCCCCTTACCGACTCCTCGGGTACCGGACTCCACGACAACTGAGCGGTCGTGCTCGATTTCACTTGATTCAGTGTAAAGTTGCCGGGTGCTTGTAGGGGTACTGAAATAACGATTCAACAGTTTTACGAGCCGCACATATTACGCGATTATTAATGTTAAAATAATTATCTTAGTGTGTATCGTAATAATAATAAAGAAGCAATTTTATCGATGATTTACCGTCTTCTCCGGAGTATCCGATAACTTCTTTGGGTCGAACTCTACATTCTCCTTTCTCATTTATCGCGACGACCTTAATTCTGTATCTCTGATAAGTAGGTTGATTTTCCACCGTAAAAGTATTTCTCTTCCAATCCTGTATGTTATACGTAATCCATTCTTCGCCTGGTATATCTCTTCTGTAAAAGACCCTATATTCAAATTTGGGGCCATTATGTTCTATCTGAGCCATGGTTGTCCATGAAATAACCAAATTTTGTGGCGTTGTACCCTTGCCCACGACATTGTCTGGATTTTTATAAGGGAGATCCGGTAAAGTGGTACAACCGTCGCTATGTGATGACGGTAGAGAAGTGCCTGCATTAGAAAGCAACATCAATACAGTTATAGTTTATAATATTTATTCTAGAGAAGAGATATATTTAGGAGAAATATTCATAGTGAGTTGATTCGAAAATTATGTAATATCTGAATTATATATCTTTATATATGTACAGCGTTAAATTATAATAATTTATTATTATCGCAATTTATTTAATTCATAACTTTTTAATTTTCAAGGGTCTTCTCACCTATTTTATTCCATGCAAGAACGCGGAACGTGTAATTAGCCCAGGGTGACATAGGCACTGTTTCCGACTGAGATGTAGCTGTGACAAAATCTTTGGCTATCTCCCAGGTATCCGGTGCAAAGCTAGTATTGTATTGGATCGTATAGCGCAGAATGGGAGCTCTATTATCTCCCATAGGTGTCCATTTAACGTCGGCCGAACTGGAACCACACTTGACGTCGGTAAATCTCGGCGCGTTAGGTACATCCTGAACTATCAGCGTCGCTTGTGCTGTCGTTTCATCGAGATCGGTACGGGCGACGCACGTGTAGGTACCAGAATCCAATTCGGTCGTCTTCGTGATCATCAGAGAATAATCGGTACTCCGCACGAATCTCGGTTCCATCTCGAAGTCTATTGGTTCGCCATTACTCAGCCAGTTTATAGTCAAAGGTAGACTCGGATCAGTAACGGCATTGCACCTAAAAACAAACATAGAACAGAAATTAAGCGAAATTTTCTAATTATCACACATATCACAAGATTACGAGTTTACTTTTACTTCTGTCGAGGTTTCAATGTCTCTCTGGCGAAACTTTACCTAAATGTGGCAGTGGAACCCGCCGCGACCTCGTAGTCCTCCGGCAGATCCGTTATCCTGGTGTGCTCTTTCACCACCAAGCTAGCGGACGCGTTCACCGCGCCGAATTTATTGCTGGCGTGGCACGTGTACATTCCGGCGTCCAGGAAATTCACGTTTTCGATCTCCAAATCGCCTATATCCAGAATCTTGTAACGGCCGCCGGTTAATTCCTGCCCGGTCCTGATCCACTTAACCTCGGGTTTAGGCGCGCCGAAAACGCGGCACGTAATTCGGATGGTCTTACCGTCGACCGTCCTCAAGTTCGTGGGCGGTTGTGTGATGTCCGGATAGAGCGCCAACACGTTCACGTACACGTCCTTGTAAACGTATCCCAACGAATTGGTGGCGTTGCACCCGTAATTTCCCGTGTCTTTCTTCACCAGCCGCTCGATGATAATGGAATTTGGCGTGACCTTCCTTCTGCTGTTCTTCGGCGCCTCGGATATCGGTTTACCGTTGTGGATCCACTTGATCTCGGGAACGGGCACTCCGCTGGCTGCGCATCTGATCTCGATGGTCTCGTCCTCCGCGGCGTTCACGAATTCCGGTTCAACGGTGAAATACGGCACGGCCATCACTTGCAGGTTTATGGAGTACGTCTCGGCCGTTCCCACTCCGTTCGATGCTTCGCAGGTGTACTTCCCCTCATCCTCGAAATTGACGTGTTTTATGACGAGAGATTTGCCGTAATTTCCTTGAGTTACTCTATCGCTCGGCCTGATCAGTTCGCCATTTTTGCTCCAAACTATCTGTGGCAAAGGCGTTCCTCCGAATATGCAGAACAGCTCTACCTTCTTGCCGCGCAGAGCAACCTGATTTTTCCTCGTGACATACTGCCTTGTTGGGGGATGTTTGTTCTGGCCGGTGGACGCGCCCGTAGAAATAACGTTTAGTAAAACTTTATTGCCTACTTTGTATTCGTTTCTGAACACAGATGTGGCGGCACAGGCGTAATAAAAGTCGTCCGAACGATCGTCTCTCGTGACGTTGCTGAACCAGAGATTACCCTCCGGGTCGAGAGTCATCCTTGAGTTATTGATTGACTTAATACCACCAGCGATATCCTGAATTAGCCAATAAACGTTTGGCTTAGGCCAGCCATCGGGTGGTTGGCAGGTAAGTTTGAAGGGAGCACCCTCGGGCGCTTCTACAGTTATCGGGTTCTCATCCTTGAACGAATTTAATTCGGCCTTTCGGACGAACACCGAATTCGACGTAGCAATGCCCCATTCGTTCTCGGCAAAACACTGATATTGTCCCAAGTCCTCGTCTCTCGGTCTTGAAATCACCAAAGTGCCTCTACCAGGCTGTTGAGAAATCCGATCGTCATACGCCGGCCATTCAAAGTTCTTCCCGTTTTTCATCCAACGGTACCTATATAAAATTATACAATATCAGAATTTCTTCTAACATACAATGTGCGTCAAATCATGCTACATCTAGCACATAATAAAATTCAAAAAAGGATAAAAATGTAATAATGTAATTATGTATAATAGTAATTATGTATAAACAATTATGTAATAACAAATGTTATCTATTGCACATAAATTAAAGACTTTACATAAAGACTGGACATCGATATGCAGCATCGACAAATTTAACATACGAGCTTTATTATTTTTCTCTTATTTTTAAATAAATAAATTTCTTTTCATAAAAAAAAAGTATAGATCAGTTTTTGTTTATTTATTAAAAGATGCGCCAACGCCCATACGGTTAGATAAGTCAGTATCGTAGCGATGATTATTTCACACATCCTAAAGCTATGAGATCATCTTTGTAATTAAGATCGACCAGTTGCACCGGCTTCTTTGCGCGAGATGAATAAGCTCGACGTGAGTGCAATGAAACTTCACGAAGGAGATATTCTGAAAGTACGTTTTCCGTTCTTGTGCAACTCTAACAAGTGTCGCTAGTCGCGAGTCGTATTTACATAATAGCTGTTTCCTTGATAGCACTTGAAGGCACTATCTAATAATAGTTCAACAGACTGTGCAAAAGCCGACTTAAAGATACGCGGATATTTATCCGTGTTATTATATTACGTGTAAAAACCAGGTCTAAAAAAAAAAAAGAAAAAAAATATCAGATACGTACGTTGGAACTGGCTCTCCCTCCGCTTCGCATTCAATTAGAAATGGTTTATCATTCTCATTGACTTTTGTTTGTGCCACTTGAAACAGCTGCTCGTCCGTTGGCGGCTGTTTAGATATTCGTGGCGGCGATTGAACTAATGAATAAAAAAATGTATTAGATTCAGAACAATTATGCCGTTAACACAGAGGTAAACTATTAAAAGAGAAACACACAAATATAATCTAAACAAGAACAGGACAAGAGACATTTATAATTTATGTTTAATGTAATGAGACTCCGCTATGACAGATGATCTTGACGCTCTTTAACTTAATTATGATAAGGGTCAGCCACAGCTTACTGTAACTTAATCGAAATAAATATATCACATTAACAGGATGTATGAAGAGAATGAGAAAAAAACCGTTTTCTTTTTTAATATATGTACAGATACATACAGACACTTTGAAAGTAACGATAATCTGGGATCTAACAAATAATATTCTAATGATATACAGTTTGTATGGGAATTATGTTGTGTTTATGTGGTATTGTGGCATTGGAACTACGTTGTGTTTATGTTCTATTGTTGTATTGGAAACAATGTCATATTTATGTTGTATTGGAATTATGTTGCATTGCATATATATAAAATAATAAAATATTCACATAGAAATGATTTAGGATATGATTTTATGAGATGTTTCGCGTATTTTAACAGCCAAAGGTAATCTATACACAAGTGTAATTGTATGAATGTACAAATATTGAGGAGTGTATGGATCTGAATTGTATAAATGGGCACATTTATACATATAATTGTGTGAATGCACAAAAACATAGCACAGCCCCGTGTAGAGAATTTATTCTGTGGCAAAATGATCTTGCGTGAATGAAAGATCGCTTGTAATAGAAAGCACGATTACGAGAAACGGTTTCCATAATAGTGTGTTTCACCTTCTACATTATCCGGGACACGTACTACAATTGAAAATCAAAAATCACAATTTTAATAGCAATTCGTCCATTGCAATTCGTAGCGTAAATAGAATAAAGTTCTTAGCTATGTACGGTCGACTATAATATTTAAAGGATATTTGCGAGCGATTGAATTATTTATACTCACTTATAGCTGATGCGCCAAGCACCAGCGTGCAAACAATACACACGGAAAGTCTCATTGTCACTTCGTATTTAGAAAGCTAAAACATATAATATCTCTTTGTCAAAGGCTTTTTCTCAATAAAAATTATTAAAATAAAAATAAGAGCAAGTTCGACCAAATCTGGATTAACTTAATCAGCAATTAGCTCAGCTGGCAGGATCGTTCACAGCACAATTTTTAACTGTACAATTTATTGTCTGTAATCTTCAATTTTACTTCCCCTGCGTTAAACAAGGAAATGTTAATAATCCTGCCTATGTTATATATGTATAATAAAATAGGTCAAATATTATGCGACAAGTTAATCGAAATTTATTCGAAATCGAGAAAGGCAGAAATGTGTTAATAATTTACAAGCAGTTTTTGTATAATATATATCGTTTGCAAAAATTTTTCAGACTGTTTCTCCGAGTACTGTTACATGCGAGGAGACACAACGTAATATTTTATAAGTACAAGAAGAAAAAATTGTTTCATTCTTTAACTGAATTTTTTTACTTTACTAAGGCAATATCTGACAACGCACATATTGTTACATGCCGTGACGATAACGCAACGTGTTATCTGTTTATTTAAAAAATAGTTTCTCGTAAATTTCAAACATAGAACTTTTGGGATCACAGCCTAATGAACCTACGTATCATATTCTAAATAAAACATGATTTTGGGGTCCGTTATGATTCACTAATTCTAAGATGCCTAATCAAATAACTGCTACATTCCTTATCGATTATTTATGTTTTCATTCTTCAATATCTTACGTTTTAAGGCGCGTTCGGTAGCACATTCAGCTATCGCATTCTATCCTTGTTTAGACGTCTAATGTATGATAAAGATAGAATGACGCGATAGCGTTGACAGCGTGCTACCCGAAACCCCTTAAGAACCTTTTTTATTGCAATCGGACTAATCACTATTCTTTAGTATTAGGATATGCTTTTTGCGCTATTTAATATTATTTTAACGAAGATCCCTTTTCAAACAAAGATCTGTTTCGAGTGTAAATTAATTCTCATCCGCGTTATTGGTTATTTTACAAAATGCTCCACATCGTAAACTCGACATGAAGATCTCTCTCGATCGAGAACAATCGGTTCTACACTGTCTTTCGTAGAAAATATACCTTATCCTGTATCACTGCCCAGAATAAAGTATTTTGTAAATGGATATGTTGTCGATTCTGAATATTGCGTGGCTACGCACAGTGGGGCCCAAATGAAATTCGTGTTTCGTGTTGCAACAAAGGCTATAGTCCCGAAATCTGAACCGATTTTGATGCATTTTTTTTTTAATGAAAGCTAATTTGGAACTTTGTCGAGCCCAATTTTTTATCCTTGTTTCTCTTTTTTTATAAAGTTTAAAGAAGTTAGATTTATAAAATTTTCAACCAAACAGCAGAGAACTCATTTAGTGTAATATTTAATTTAACGTCGGGCAGACTATATTGATAATATTCATATCCTGAAATAAAGTTGAAAGTCATTAAAAAACGGTAAAAATAATAAAAATAAAATTTAATCTTACTTAATTCATTTGTATTCAATAATATTCAGTGTAATATTTAATATTAATATAATAAAATTAATATAATATATCAAATATTATACTGAATATTATTAAACACAAATGAATTAAGTAAAAATAATAATACAAATAAAATTTAATCTTATTTAGTTCATTAGTATTCAATAATATTCAGTAATATTAAAAATTTACACTGAACATTATTGAACACAAATGAATTAAGACTAAATTTTATTTGTATAAAATATTATTTTTATCGTTATATTAAATGCCACAATAAAGAAGTTCTCTATTGTTTAATTAAAAATTTTATAAATCTAATTCCTTTGTGTCTGATTTCATAAAGGAGAGAAGCAAGAATCAAAAATTGAGCTCAAAAAAGTTATTCCAAATTTCATTAGCTTTAATTTAAAAAAAAAAATGTATCAAAATCGATTCAGATTTCGAGGCTATAGCCTTATTTAAAACGAAATTTCATTCGGCCCTTGTGCTGCTACGGTCGTAACAATATGCACAGTCGTGTTTAATATGAGTGACGGACGACAAATAATTTACACTCAAAACAGATGTTTGTTTGAAAAGGGACCGTCTTTAAAATAGTCCAAAAAAAAACATCCAAATACTAATAGCGATAAGTCAGATTGCAACAAAAAAGGTTCTAAACTTTCTAAACGGCTAGGGTCGAACATATGCGAAACAGACCCTTTATAAATATTCCCTTGAGAATACTATAAATTTCCCTTGAGTAACAAAAAGATTTCAAAAAAAGATTCAAAAAGTTCTTAAACTGATAAATGACTGTAAAATATCAGAGATTTATGTTACACTAAAAGCAAATTAGCAATTATATATATATATAAACTATGATATATTTTTTTATAGATATACTATAATTTTATCAGCAAAGTTATAGTAATCATTAAAAGACAAACTTTAAAGAACAATTGATATTTTCACTAGCAAATGCTATTCTAATTCAGCAAAAGCGTACACAAAGAAAGTATTAGTTGAAATGACATTCCATTTTAGTCTGTGTTACAATAAATAAAAATCATATTTTTCAAATAATACAAGATTTATTTTTTCTTTGTACCTATGAGAAACTTTTCTTTCAGTCTTTGTAATAAATATGAATAGGAATGAATATTCATCTTACAAACAGTATTATGTCAGAAGGATATATTGTAGCACATTTTTTGGACAGCATACCATAAAACATCGTTAAAATGTACTTAAAATCTGGACTTACGTCCAGATTTTAAACATGTGCTGTTTGGATTTAGATATCGAAAAATGAAAAATAAAGAGTTAAAGTTTAGATCTTATTTTAAATAAAAATGTTAAATTGATAATTCTGTCCTTGTTAATAAAATAGTACAAATATTACTCGATAAGATATCAGTGTTTGCTCGAAGTTATTCTAAAAATCAAGAAAGAAAGAAGTGTATTAATATAATTTACATTATTTACAAGCAATTTTTAAATATATATCATTTAAATTGTATGCGATTTAACCATTTATTAAAGAGATATACTTCGCAAAGAGATATAATTTGCAAACAATTTGTATCAATTAGTACGCTTTTACTAAAATGTTTTAGCAAATGTATGTTAATTTACTAATATTACTGTTTTATAATACTACTAAAATTTGTAGTAATAATAAATATTTCTTTTTATTTTTTCGCTCTCCCCAAAATCTTAAGTACTGTAATTATATACATTTAATAGTAAACACAATTATTGAATTTTATTCCTTTTCGGCAACATACATACTACAATATTGCATTAGGCGTTGTTCATTTGGGAAGCTGTTTCCGAGACTTTTATATTTTTATAAGATTTTAAAGATATGAGACTGAGAACTCCTCAAAAACTCGCGATTTGCGTAACAGCGCTCGATTTCGTTAAAAAAAAAGTCGTTAATCACACAAAACTTGGTCGCATCCGGCGAACGCGCGGCGGTAACGAACGAGAGGTACCGGGTACCGGTCTGATTTTCTTCAATTAATCATGCATCACTCCGCAGGTCGTGCACCCCGTGGCGCTTTTGCCAATGCGGTAAACACAAAATTGCACGCACACACGGGTACACGTACACGGGCACGCGCGTGCGCTTGGGAAGCGGCCTCCTCGGCGTGATCAGCCCGCAAGGATCGAAGCTGACCCAATTATCCGAGATTTTCAAATTTTCGCCGGGATGTTGTGGGACGGTGGTTGCCAATGGTGACGCGAAAAAATGGGCGTGCACCCGGCGCCGATGGAGACGCGTGAAGACGAAGGAAAAAGGCCAGGAGACGCGAGGCCCGACGTGGGGCGGCATAAATTTCTCCACGTACGGAAACAACTCGACGGGTGTACGGGTGACCCGTCGATACCCGCGGGTGATCCACCTCGGCGATCAGCGGGGGGGGATAAATAATCCGGGGAAGAGATCCGTGCACTCGCGATTAGAACGCGCCGTCGCGCCCGACGACGACTACTACTCACCGCCGATGATGATCTCACTCGTCGTCCTTCGCGGGTCTCTCTCGCGCGCGCGGCAGCGGAAGCGCCGATCGAATTGACAATCCTCGCGAGTCGCGCGACGAAACGGGCGCGTCTCGTTCCGGTCGCGAGGAGGAGGGCGTCTCGCGTCCACGGCGTGCACAATTTTGCCGCACCACTATACGGTCTGCGACGCGGCGTGGCGCGGCGCGGTAAACGGGCGGCCGAGAAACGCGAATGTGGGAACGGGAGAACGGCAGGCAGGGCGAAAAAGCGGGCACACCCGTGCGAGATCGCATTGATCGCCCGTAACCGTCGTCGGCCGCTCGTCGGCGACGTAGCGGATCGCTCGTTAAAGACTTACCGATCCCCCTCGAGCGGTTCGGTGACGCGGTCACGGTGCCGAGAACTCGTCGCTATCACCAGGGCATCATCGAAAAAACTGCGGAAAACCACCGACTCGGATGACGGATACGCAACTCGTCGTACGGTACCGCACTGTTGTGCGTGTAACGTCTTACCTTCATACGCGCGCGCGCGTGTGTATGTGTGTGGTGTGCCCGCGGTAACGCGTCGCGCCGCGCTCGGTGTCCCTGGGTATCTCACCGGTCCAGGGAGACTAGATAAGGAAGATACCCTGCCGTACCGGGTATACCTCGTCGGTATATAAGACTGTCTACTATACCGAGGGATAATTTGTTACCGACAAGGTATACTAATATAGCGACTTCGGCTGATCTGCATTCCGCACCTGCAGACGCAACAGTATGCCACGCACGGGCCAGGGCTCTATCACGCACTGGGCAGCATACCGATTTTAAATTCAAATGAGCACTGGTGAGGGAATGCACCATTCAATCATATATTCAGCTTTGACTATATAAATATGGACTGCTAGTCCCCCCGATTTTACTATGTAAAAAACATATGCCCAGTGTCGCCGAGCTAAAGTTGGTTGAGGTATCGAATTTCGATTTTTAGGCTCCACCCCAGTCAGTAAAAAAAAAATCAAATATCTGTCAAAATGTATTAAATGTTATGTTGAAAATTGATAGGGAGCCAAAAAAAATCTCGGAATGAAATTAAAAACAAACTCAGCACCTTTTCTTTACACGTCGTAAACACGCTGATTTCACAGGAGCCTTCCCCCTCTCCGCAGAAAATTACTGACTGAGGTGGAGTCTACATCTTCCAGCTTGGCGACACGTGTGAAGTTAATTACTATCAGTCCATACTTATATAGTCAAAGATATTCAGCTGAACACACAAATTTGAAATTGATAGACACTCGAAATATATATATAGTCGGTGCGTTTCAGCCGAAATCGTTAAATTAAGCTTCGGGGATATATTATAATTTATACCGATAATATTCTGACTGCACTCACAAATACTTGAATATATATTTTATCTGCCTCTCTCTCTCTCTCTCTCTCTCTCTTCCTCTCTTCTCTTCTTTCCTCTCTTAAAATACTATCTAATTATATATATGCCTGTTTCCATCATGCAGATTAATTTTAAGTTTTAAGAAATAAAAAATGAAAAGTAAATTAAAATCGAGATTAAAAAGTAATCTATAACATTGGTAGAAATGGACATTTAAACCTATTTCTACTATATGCACTAATAATCTTGATTTAATTTAATTTAGTTCACTCTTTATCTTTTTTAATTTTTATAAACAAGTTAAAATCGAGATCCGAGATAAAAATTAATCTACACTCCAGAAGTTTGAAAACACCAATAAAAGTAACGCGTATGAATTATGATACGCTTTGTATGAAACATCAATAAAAATGTAAATAAAAAAATTATGTTTCCAATTTTATGCAATAATAGAAGAGTACGCTTTCTGCAACAGTGAGTTGATTTACAATTTTACATTAATCTTCTATAAAAACGGAAAAAATAAACTCTAAAGTTCATTATTTTAACTTCAGAATTTATTTTCTCCATTGGTACAAAATGTGGATTAGCCCGCACTGTTGCAGCAAGACCCTAAGGTTTGATCTAAAATATTAAATTGTTAAAAAGACACATTATTATGAATATAATTTGAGTAAATAATCCCAAAAATGTTAATTTTTATAAAGTTTCCAAACAGTTTTGGCTTGCATAAAGTTTTTTTACATTGATAATAAAAATGAATATTTCTGAGTAGAACGCAGAAGTATAATAACATTATATATATGAAGTCCAATAATATTCTAAAGATGTCATCATGATTTTATTTAATATAAGTTGCAGTTATGACATTTGGCTTCTATGTTTTATTCAAGTTAATTTTCATATAATTTAAAGATCTCTAATATAATTGTATGTTTGTGAAAAATTAAATGTAATTAATGTTATAATTTAAATATCTTTTATGTTAATTTTAAGATAAATAATTATTTAACATTAAAATTAAAAATTCTTTTCAATAATCTAGAAAAAGAAAGAACCATCAAATATTTTCAAGACAATCGCATGTAATTATAAAAGTATTCAGAAAAGCTATATGATTTGCTTTATTTCTTTGCTTTTAGTTCTGATGAAACAAACCATTCACGAAATGTTGGTGTTTAATGATGTTTTAAAATAATTCATAAACCACATAACTTTTCTGAGAAAAAACCCATGAGATTGAGCAGCAAAAATATATGTAAGTATTTTTGATCACTAGAGTATATAGAAATAAAACACTTTGCTATTTTTTACTGTACAATAATTTAAAATTTAAATTACTCTATTTATTTTTGCACTGTATTTTACACTTTTATATAAGATACTTTTTTCTTTAGGCATTTCTAATTCTATAACTCCTAACTCTGTTCTTACCATATCCATAAAATTGTATGGATGCAGCACGTCACTATTTCAATCTTCATACCCTGTTTTATTATGTCGGTCACACTTAGGCCATCCTATAACGAAAATGAACGATATTAAAGTATCGATTATAATGCAATTCGATTATAATACATTCTTCTTTACGTTGTACTTTGATTTGAGAATTGCAACGAATATTACAATAAATAAAGGTGTCTGTACGAAATATAAAAATATTCGCGAAAGCTAACACGATCGCTACCTTTTCTTTTAAACGGCTATTTTGGAATCCCCCGAATATTAGGCTTGCGTCAATCGATCTCTCTCTCGTCCTAAGATTACGTGGCCCAATCACACAACACGCTTAGATATTATTATGAAAAACGCGTAAACAGTTGCCGCGAAACTAATGTGTGTCCTTCTTGAAAATATGATAAGCACACTTTAAAATCTAACCGAAAAGAGGACATAAACTTATATAAATACGTTTAAATAGTTTATGTAATAATAATAAAATCTTTTCTTTCTTACCGAAAAGAACGATTTTATTGAAAGATTCTAAAACTTAACTGGGTACAGATTTTAAAATAATTTTGGATCATTAAAATAATTATATTGGAAGTTCAAACTGGTTGCTAGAATATCAAAATTTTTTTGCAGCATTACTCATCAATATTGAGTCCTTAACATGATGGTTCAACAAAATTATTTTCAGATCTGTATCCAGCTACATTTTTTAGGATCTCTTTCAGCAAAATCTTTCTTTTTGTGTATATAAAATGTATATGTGTGTGCATGTCATAAAAATATATTAAATCAATATAAAATATATACATATACATACCATATATATACTCTATCGTCTAATGATGTCTCTGGGGCCTCCTCCTTCTCTCAGGTCCCCTCGTCAATCTCTCACTCGCGAGAATGCGATTAATTACAATCGCGTGCACAAATTAATTAGATGGTGGCCGATGTCAGTCTCTTGTAACGTGCATTTTACTACATTGTGACGGAACAATGACACGAAAAACATATACGAAGCTGCGATACGCTGTTTCTTCATTGCCAGCTTTCCAAAACTGATTATTTTCAGTTGATCAGATACTTCGCAATTGCGTCACACTTATACTGATACATTTAAATAAAGTCGCGTGGTTTAACACATGCAAATAATTAAAACGCAGTAAATCACCCAAATTTATATTTATATTTAACTTATAATTAAATCGACGAAGAGCACAAGATATATTCGAATTTAAGTACATATCTATTAAAAATCACAATAAACCACGAAACAATAATTTATAATTTCCTGTCCTTTAAAAAATTTCATCTTTTTTTTGCTTTGATTTCTTTGGTACCGAAAAAGTCAAACGACCATGAGATTTTTTGTCCTGTTTTGGTGGAGTTGACTTGGTTTGTTCCTTCTGTAAATTTTGCATAAAATTTTCTAATACTTGACTTGCGATTTTTACCAATTCTGTTCTTTTCGGGCGCTTACGAATCATATGATATTATAGCATTATGAGTATTCGTACTTATAAAGCATTTATATATAATAAAAATCATTTAAATTAATGTATTATTTAAATATATATTTATGTTAAAATTGTATAATCGCAAATTTATGTCAATAGTCGATACATCACTCTGCAATTACCTTTGGGCCTTTTGGCTAGATTGGATATTTATCGTGGATAAGAATTATAAGAATAGGACGATTTCCGGCCACACCGCGTATACCTCGTCGGTATAAGGCTATATCTACTATACCGAGGCATAATTCATTATCGACGCAAGATTATATTATATTATTATGCGAGCTATATGTATATACATATATTGCAGGGTGTATTATACCGATAATACCCAATATTGATATTCTGACTGCGCCCAAAAATACTTGAAGATTTTATGTATCCCTCTTTCTTTCTTTCTTTCACTTTCTCTCTCTCTCTCTCTCTCTCTCTCCTTTCTTTTCTTTGTGCCTGTTTCCGCCAGAAGAGCCTATTGCCACTAATGTATAAGTAATCTTTTTTTTTCACTCTTTATCTTTTTTTTAATTCTTAGAATTAGAAGATAAAAAAATAAGTAAAATCGAGATCCGAGATCAAAATTAATCTACACTCCAGAAGTTTGGAAACACCAATTGAAAACTTAACGCATATTAAAAATTATGACGCATTATATGAAACATCAATAAAATTGTAGATAAAAAAGTTATGTTTCTGATTTTATGATATAACTAAAGAGCTTTCTGTGTGCAACAGTAAGTTGATTCGCAATTTTACATTAACATATATTTTATAAAAACGAAAAAAATAAACTGTAAGTTCCATCACTTTACTTCAGAGTTTATTTTCTCTATTGCCACAAAATGTGGGTTAGTTCACTGTTGCAACATGCTCTTCAATTGGATCTGAAATATTATTGTTAAAAAAACATTGTTATGGACTTTTGAATACATAATCCCAAAAATGTCAATTTTTTTCAAATTAATTCCAAACAGTTTTGGCAATTGCACAGTTTTTACATTGATAATAAAAATGGGCATATTCAGATAGAACGTAGAAGTAATATCATTATATGAAGTCAAATGATATCTTAAAGATGTTATAATAACTTTATTTGAAACTATAAGGCACAAATAATGTAAAAATTACCGTTATTATGACATCATTTGATTTCCATACTTTACTTAGGTTAATTTCCATTATAATATCTCTTATATATAACTGTACGTTTGTGAAAAAATAAAATATTAATTAATGTTATAATTTAATAAATATCTTTTATGTAGTTATAATTAGAATATTTAGCATTATAATTTAAAAAATAAATTATAATTGATGTACAAACAAAAGATATATCTGGATCAACTGAATTCAATTAGAAATAAAATATGCGAATTATATATCTTCGTAAAAAATTAAGTAACAGTAGGAATATTCTTTTACATATATTTTTTGATTTATTACGTGCGTTTTGAAACAAAATACATTTACGGCTTGTATAATTTTATATACAAATAGATCAAAGATTTAATCACACTCCTGGTAGTTCTCATTAATCCTGTGCTTTAAAACGATCAATTTTGTATATTTCGACTACAAAAATAAAGTAGCAATAAATATCGCCATATGTAACATAAGAGACATAAAACGAATCTTAATTAATAAATTCTATTTAAAAGTTACTGACACAAACAAATGTATATTTTATATATATATATATATATATATATATATATATATATATAATATACATTTTGAATAAAGAGATTTAATCAATTTAGTTAAACAATTTGATATTGTTCGGGTTCTACTTCATGAATATGTCGTAGGAAAAATGTGACTTTGACTTGTTCAACGTGTCGACACAGCTTCATGGCTAAACTCGTTCGTAGTTTCATGTGTTGAGTAAGGGAGGGGAGATTCAGCAACAAAAATGCAAGACCATCAATTTCCTGATAAACAGAGAGATACATCCGGTGTGAATGATAATCACAATTAAAGTTTTAATTTTCGAAATTACGATTAAATTCAATACATATAATATACTCACCTCTTCCTTGACGCGATACGCAAGGTCCTTGCAGTCGTTTGTTTTTCTGAGATATCGAAACACGTCGTCCACGCTCCAATACAACGGATTTGAATCGAGCTTCCGCGTCTTCGGTCGTCGCTGGGTCTTTTGCATTCTCACGTATTCGGCATCTGCTTCAGAGCAATCGGATTCTATGCTCGTGTCCCAATCTCTCTTAATCCCTCTCGTCATTCCCGTGCTTTGGTTGAATCTCGTGGAGTGTTGCTTGGAATTTAAATTCGGTGGACTTGGCATCTCACGATCTTTGGGCTTTCTATCGTTGAACGAACTACCAGAGTCCTCCGAGGCATTACTGGAGGCTATTTCAGTTTTAAAGTCGTCTGATTTGTCGGATTTCTCTAAACCTTTCTGTATCATGATATCTATCTCCGAGAGCGGCTGCCTTCCGTCGAAGTGCTCGTTCATGTGATTCTCCGAGATGTGCTTCGCCAGATCCAACGACATAAATGGCATTTCATCTTCCTGATCATATTCTTCGTGAGCCTCCTTATGCTTATTTGCCCATCTGCCACGTCGCCTTTTACGCCTTCTACCCCAAGGCTTCGGTTTTTGCACCATGATGCTCGTGTATCCTTTCGGCTTTCCTCTTTTTCCAGTTCCAATTGATGCCGCTGTAAATTGAAAATATCAATAGTTTATTTATGTGTTTTACATATTATATTTTTGTATTTATAACGTTACAAATACAACAAGTTTGCACGTAACTTCTTAAAGACAGTTCAGTTACTTACTATATTTCGTCTTTGACGTTTTATAACATTCGTCTGGGCATTCGTTTTCTGATATATGCAACGGACCAAATAAATTTGGGCATACCATTAATTTTTTACAAATATTCCGGCAAAAATCTGCCACCATGTCACCCGACGTAACAATTGCGACACTCGCGCGATATGTGTTATTCTTATGCTTCGCCTTTAAGACTTCCAAGTGATATCCGGGATCTGGCTTGGTATCGCATTGCAAGACCTTCAAAATTCTAGCACTCCTATACCCAACGGATACTATCATTGACAAAACTTCCCGCATGACCAATATAACTGGCCCAGGTCCCACCGACTTCGGGAGAGTCGCTAATTTACCCTTCGATATCATGGGGCCTGTGAAGCATCGGTAATTAAAATATATCTTTGGACACCAGAGGGAAGAGCGTGGCTCGGATATCGGTATGTCCAAGACATTGGTTTTCTTCTCCTCCTTCGCGGACGTTTCCAGTTTCTTGCAAATCTCTATGTAGTCGTGCGGTGGTTTTAACGGATAGTGATTAGACTCGCACCATCCGACGGGAAATATGTACAAGGAATGCATGTCGACTACATGATCCGGCCGAGAGTACTCGTAGTTATCTAATTTTATCCATAACAGATTGTCAACGATTTTATTGATGTGAGCGGCGCATATTACGTGTTCGTGGTCTGGATCAATAGCCTCCAGTCTCATGCCACATTCAAAGCCTGCCTCACTGGCATTCGCACGTTCACCAAATAAGTTTTCAGGCGCTGCGCTAGCATGGAACTCTTCCAAATATTCATTCCAATCAAAATTTTCGGTCTTTGAAGTCCAACCTTGTGGATGGGTAATCCTGTAATATTTAAATTGAGATCTCAATAGAAAAAATAGTGTCAAGGATTATGCTAGAGAATTATGTATAAAAGTATGCAATACTTGCAAAAAAATATTTCTTATATATTACATATACAGTATAAAATTTAAAAGAATTCTAATAAAATAAATTTTTTGAAGATTGACATACTTGTATTTACTTGACAACTTACATAACATTGTTTTTTTGCGCCCATCCAACTGGAAATATATATGGGTGTTCTGCAGTGCACAACCATGTATTACTTTCTGAATGATTAGAGACGAGCGATCGTTTGATTCGTTTAAGCCTCTAGCATGTACGTCAATATTCACAAGAAAATATATATCGTCAAATACTTTCGTTATGGTAGCAGGACAAATTTTCATTCGGTCTAATGGATGTAAAGCTTCCAGTTTCATTCCAACTTCAAAACTATGCTTTGAATGATCTACATGATCGTTAAATAATCCTTCCGCTATCTCACAATCTTTTGGTTTAGATTCTAACAAATCCTTCCATTCTTCATACGCATGCAAATCAATTATTGAACTAGGTGGTTCCAAAAACCAAGTGGAATTCGATTTAGACGTAAATCCATACGAATGTAAACGCTCAGATGTACAAAATATCCAGAAGTCTTCACGAGTAGAAGAATCTGGAGTATCATATCTCAGTAAAAGACGTCCTCCAACGTTTTCGATAATCTAGAAAAAGAAAGAACCATCAAATATTTTTAAGAAAATCATATGTAAGTATTTAGAAAAGATGTGTGGTTTGGGGATTATTTCCTTGCTTCTCGCTCTAATGAAATAAATTATTCACAAAATATTAGCATTTAATGTTTAAAAACATTAAGATAATCCACAAACCACGTAGCTTTTCTGAAAAAAAAAAAACCGCATGAGAGCCTCTAAAGTACATGTAAATATTTTTAATCACTAGAGTATACAGAAATAAAACACTTTGCTATTGTTTATTGTACAATAATTTAAATTACACTGTTTATTCTTGAACTGTATTGTACAGTTTTGTATAAGATACTCTTTTCTTTAGGCATTTCTAATTCTATAACTTTTAACTCTGTTCTTACCGTAGCTACCCATAACTTGTAAGGATGCAATACGTCACTTATCTCAACTTTCATACCCTGTTTTATCCTGTCGGCCATACTTAGGCCATCCTATAACGAAAATGAGTATTAAAGTATTGGTTATAAATATATGCACAAATTTCAAGAAATATTAGTATCTCACCCCTGTCAACATCTCAGCTGGGAGTGTACGTGCTGTCACCAGAAATTCATGCAGCTTGTCTACGCAGTCTGGTGATCTCTCAAGTATAACATCAGGTGGCTTTAATTTCTTATTGTTTTTCACACTCCAACCAAGTTCATGGCCAGCCTCTTTTGTAAGATTAAACCAAAATTCTAAAGATCTATCGTCACCACCAAAATAACGCAGTCGCAATAAGGGTCCACAAGCCATAACGATAGAAGCCACCCAATATGATGATTCCTCCTCGTCATTATTCTTTTGGATTGGTACCTCTAGTGACATTCCTATTTCAATACTGTTCTGCAATGTTAGCTCCACATGTGGGAACATAATTTGTGGAACTTCCATGCTCTTCGTGGCATCAAGATAGTCTTGCCAAACAAATCCATATTCTAAAATATAAAATTTGGTGTAGTATAAATATTATTTAACTAAAATTTAATAATTTCAAACTGTGATTTTTAATTTATCTTAATAAAATATTATATAACAAAAATTATATTATGATATATTTAATATAAATAATTACATATATTCTACAAAAAGAAATTGATATTATTTATTAAATAGCAATGTAGATCAAATAAATATTATAATATAATTATATCTTTTACAAGAATATTTTAATTAAAAACTATTATTTTTATTCAAATCACTCTGTTAATTATTAATTTCTGTTAAATTCTTATTATACTAACAATTGTAAATTATTATAAACGAAAATATTTAATTTCTCAAATTAATAATTTTTTTTATCTGCTATTACTGACGCGCAAAACGCCATTTTCTGAATTGTTAATGTATAGAGAAATGAAATACGTTCGCAAAGATACAAAAACGCGTACGATTTATGCGCGAAAACAATGTAACACGTGCTCTTTAACGGTTAATTATTAATACATGGATTTTTTTTCCCGTATGATGCATACAACTTTTCTCGAAGTTTCATTTGAAAATCATACGTTCAACTACCATGTTGTCTATAATCCGTATCTACCTTTATTGGAAAGCGATAGCGCTCAAGTTGATCACATAAAAAAAAAGACGCGCGATAGCTTCGTAATCGCGTGCGATTCTGACGCCGAGAAAACTCACGAATTTCGCACGTGTGAGAGAGAAATTTTCGTGCGTACGCGAAATTTAAAACGTGCGAGTAAGTTACGAAATTTTTTACCTCCATCCTGCGGTTTTTCTTGCGCTCGACTCTCGTTCGTATCCATACTTTTTTTTTATTTACACCGCCGGGCACGCGAGCGAAATATATATGGCGGGACCGTTGACGGATCTTCGACGAAGGGCCGGCGATTTGCGTGCGAAAAATTAATATGTGGTAAACCCTAGGAAGAACAACACCTACGATTCACCGTGCGCGAATGAGTGAAGGGCAGTGATCCCAAATCGTAGGATTTTTCCACGCATGCTCAGCAGCGCAGTGCAGTGGCGTACGCAACTTGTCGAAAAGTCTGGTGTCGTCGGGGCACACCACACGTCCACGGACGCTATAAACTCTATAAAGCCTCGTGTCCACGAAAAAAATCATTCCCGAGGCCTCTCAGATGGAGAAAGAATTGGCCAGTGTCATTCCTGGTAGCACAATGTTGACAAATTCATCGGCGCAATATTGGATCAATAATGTATTTCCCAATGTAACTATACATATGTAAATATTGTACAAGAGAGCAATATATTGAACCAACAAATTGTGCTACTTATTGAACAATTTTGGTCGAATTTTTCAGTGTGATTTGTTAATTCCTTTTCCGTCCGATTTGTTAGTTCCTTCTTTATCCGAAATTTCAGAGCGATTTCTGTAGTCTCGTGGACACAAAGCTTTAAAAAAACTTTTCGATTCGCGTTCGAGAAAAAGTTACTATAGACCTCGAATCGTATACAGACACTTTGAAATGAAAACACTTGGATATGAATCTCAAACGAACAAAATGATGTATCATTCCTCGTGTTTTTGTGCTAGCTTGCATCAAATTCAAGGCAAGCAAGGTATATTTACATGGATTCATTACTGCCAACGATGTTGTAAATAACAATCTTGTTTGTTAATCATAATTACTAATTTAGTACGTAATTAATTGAATAGTTTCATTATAAAAAGGAATTTAGTTTATCGTTTTTTATTTCATTCATTGCGAGATTTCTATAATTTCCTTAATCTTTCGATAAATGTTTTTTTTTTTATGTTTACGATAAAAAATCTTAAAAAAGCTGAAATGGGTAATGATTAAATTATTACATTCTTTAAATAAAATTATTATGCAAACTAAGAAATTACGATTCATGAATAAAATAATAGATAATTAGTAATGTATTTATTTATTTGTGTTTTCAAAAGTAAAATAAGCTTGAACGTTTGAACGGTTGATTAAATATTTTAATGATGACATCAATTAACTAACTTCACACATTCGATTGTAACATTCATTCATAACCCAATTTCATATTAAAATGAAAGATTATCATATATTTAAATCTTGGGTGATCTTAGACTCGATCCAGTTAATGAATTAATAATCGTACAGCTCAAAATTGTACTTAAAATAATCTTATACATATAAATCATACTTAAAATGATCTTATGTATAAAATCTGACTTAAGATCTTAATAAAATATATAAAATTATGTTCAATAAGCGAAAAGTTAATAAAATATATTAGCAGATTGCCAGCAAAATCAAACAGAATCTATCAATTTAATTTAAAAGAAATGTGCCGTTTAAAGAATCAAAAATAACAAATTCTGCTTGCTTTCTGTCAATTTATCATTTACATATTCTGTTAGCAAATTTTATTTGCAAAATTGATTTTCGATAGTTTTGGCTATCTGTATAAATATCGCTTTAGATTCGTCCAAGTGCAAAAATCTCAATTTTCAATTTCTGTTGAAATCAAAAATATAATGAAATCAAAAACCAAACACAAAGATTTTTATCAACTAATATAATATAAAAATATATTATTAAAAAAATCTGTTTTAAATAATTTAAAAAAAAATTATATATATATATATATATATATATATAGATTTTTTTATAGTGTCTATATATTATACAATTATTTTAATAACACGACATTATATATTAACGAGAACATGGTAAAAAATATTCAAAAATTTTTGAATCCTTGCAAGAATCCCAAGAGTTGTCTTACTTATTTACACTTGGTTAAAAGGTCATTTTAACAAGTTATGCGATCGACTATACGCATATACGTATGCATACAAAAATAGTGGGGATGCGCATGCGTGGAAAAATCTTATAATCTGGGCTGACCGATTGCTAAAGGATTGTTAATAGATAGCTTATGTATTCCCAAGTAGAACACGGAAGTCACGAAGTGATATCACAAAGATATATTATAACGTCGTTATGACTTTATATCACTTATATATAAGTCATAAATAATGTAAGAAATGACGTCGAGACATTATATGATATCATCATTTGGTTCTATGTTCTACCTGAATTGTTTATAGTGCTAAAACAATTGCTCTTGCCACGTGTAAAAGACTCAAATTCTCGACTTTATATTATCTCGTACATATTTTTATAAAAAATTTTAAAAGAAAAAAATATTACATTTTGACAGACACAAAAGTATCGATCCATATATAAATATAAATAGGTCCAATTGAAATTGCGCTGGCAGAATAAAAATTCAATAATAATAAGCTCAAATATTAAATCATAAAACTGTGATACTTTGCTCAGTATATAGGGACATGATAGAAAAGAGAAAAATAATTGTTTATAGCAAATTCGGGTGTCGGCCCGAAATATCACGCTCCTGGTACATAATAAAGACTGCTACGTACAAAATACAAAAGCATAACATACGGTTCATTCATTTTACTTGCACCTTCTGCACTCGGGTTCGTCTCTCTCTCTCTCTCTCTCTCTCTCTCTCTCTCTCTCTCTTTTCCAACATCTGAATAAACATCCATTGATCTTGTTTTAAATGCAGAAAGTAATATAGAGTGCAAATGAAACAAACAGAGATCTATATATTTTATCTTATTTTATCTTAACTGATGAAATACACATAATATATTCTGCTAAATACCTGCACGGCGTCATATTATTTAGCAGCCTATATGGTGTATTTATTCATAATTAAGGTGCTTATATGTTATGCTTTTGCACTTAAATAATTTCGTGTGTAACGATCTTTAGTATAATATATGCAGCTGTAGCTGCCTTTAAACTTTAAATATAACCATTTCCTTTCAGCCAATCGTCGATTCCTTTCGCGACGTCCCTTCAGACTTTATTATCTCGACTATATCCGCGAAATAACAATTGATTAAAAACTATGTATATTTATGTGCTCAAAAAACAGCTCTTGTATGTACAGTTTCTCTGACCAAAAATGTCGGGCTCCACAGGTTTCTATAGAGAAACTATATTTGAGATAGAAATTATACGTGGTCTATATACGTGTTGACACATATATTCAGGACGTCTTGCTTTTTTTCTCTTTTCAAACAATTCGATAGACACATACCTACGGATAGGCACACTGACGAGATACTATCAAAGAAGGTCAATTAAAAGCTGGCTCCAGACCAACCGAGCAAGGACGAGCGAGCGTAAACGAACATTTACACGACGAACAAAAGCGAGCGTAAAATGCGAGTCAAGACACCGACGAGGTACTATTAAAGACGGCCAGCCCTGGCCCCCTGGGTAAATTTTCATGATCGAGTGAACTCGGGGATAATTGAAGAGTACAGACATTATCGACCGGTTCGGCCGTTCGATACAAATATATACTTGAATTAGCCTATAATGTAGCATTAAATTTATGATTTATTATATAAATATATAAATAGAGACATGTTTACGATTGATACATATATTTATGATGCAATATCATATGTATTGCTACAAAATTACTTTTTTCTATGATAATCAATCGCCCATAACAATTATGCATGGGAATGCATAATTTTTAATAAAAATCGATTATGACGTCATAGATGCCAATAGGCCAAATATTAGGAAAAAAAACAAACGTTATAGCAATATGTGAGCAGTATGCTGAGCAGAATATTGCGATAGATGCATATTTACCATAAAAGTATCTGGATAATAAATAAAAAATTATAAATGTATTCATGAATCGTCTAGATCATATTTTATGAATTTGATATTTTGTTAAGAACTAACTAAAACTATCTAAAATATGAAAAACTGCAGCAAAATTTTTTATGCTTTTGATTAATTAAACTATCACTTTCTTTGATACATAATCTTGACATAATAGTATATACATGTCTTTAAAAATTCTTCGTCTAAAGATACTTGTAATTATACAATTACATTAAAATATATTTAAACATATTTAAAAAACGCTTAGCGTAAAATATATAACAATATATTCATTGGCTATTGAAATATTATTGGTATAATATATGTATAACTTTGTATTTTCTCAGTTGGCATTTTTCAATTTTTTATATCTATTTTTGTAGGAGAGATCTTTAGTCTTTTATATAAATAACGTTATATTAAAAAACTTAAAAAATTGTTACAATTTCTTTCCTTCAAAATGTACCAGCAAAACATTAATTATTAAAAGGCAATTCCTGCTGAAAGAAGGCTTACAATTAATGTAATTACAAGATCCACTTATATTAGCAAGTGAAGATTCCCAGCTACTTATTTAAGGGTTCGGCACGAGTCATCTCGGAAATTATTTCTGAAGTCTCTTCTTGTTCTACCAGATAAAGTTATCTAGCTTTCTTAATGAAAAAAATTTAATTTCTTTTTAGAAAATTTATTTCAAGAAAATTTATAAACATATAGTTAACATTAATATTAATAAAATTTATTTATAAGAAATTAATTACAAAAATAACTATGGGAATAAAGAATATGTATTTCAATAGAAGTTTACAGAAAATAAAAATAAAAATAAAACGATTCTGTAACGCTATTAGTTTATCAGACTATTAATTCAAATAATCACAGATTCGATTCAGTAGAATTCATGTTATTAGAATCCCCGGATTGATAGGAATATGCAGAAAGCGGTGGTGAAATAGCAGAATAAGTCGTAGGTATAGGCGATCTTTGAGGAACCGAATCTTTATATTTCCCTAATTCTGCTTCTATAAGAATCTCATTAATGTAATGTTTGGCCATTATTCGTGAATAATTATCTAATTTCTTCAGTGTCAATGCCACGTATTCGCCGTAAGTCTCATTTTCATCTCGTTGAAATTCTTTTTCTACAACCCTAGCCTTTAAAATATACATTTCATTTGGTTTGTTATCATCGTTAATCTTTTTTCTCTTTGGAGTATTTAATTCTGCAGAATGAAACACTTTCAAATGTTTTTGTCGCAACGGTATACTACTTAATCGTAAGCTTCTCGCTGGTTCGTACGGTATAGCTTCTACTTTCGGGCATGTTATTTCTGTTTCATTAATGTCTTCATGGTCACTATTTTCTTCCTTGAGATCGCTATTTTCTTCCTGTTGATACATTTCAGAAGTCTGTAAAATAATGAGAATATTACCAAAAGTATATTATAAACATTTATTAAAGAAATTTTGTACAATACAATATGTTTTCTATTTATAGATTTCGACAAATATGGGAAGTTTTTATAATAATAGTTATTATAATAGTTTTTTAATGTCGCACTATTCAGCAATAGAATTTAATATCCAGAATATTGAAAACAGAATTTGATATCTAGAAAATTAATTATACTATAAGTATAATGTTAAACACAAGTATAATTTTTAATAATATATAACTTATCAAAATTAATTTTAAATAAATTATAATTGTGTTTAACAATATAACTATTATAATAACTATTATTATAAAAAACTTTCCATATTTATCGAAATCTATAAATAGAAAACATATTGTGTTATAGTTTTCTTTAATAAATGTTTACTTTAATAGATCTATCTTAATATTACATTATTAGCTAGTAACGAGCAATTTTTCTGAAGGTATTATAAAATAATTTATTCAATGTGTGAGTACAAAATTAAAATTGTTTTATTTATTGTTTTATATAACGTTAACACTCGGCAGTTATATATGCAACTATGATATTTTACGATTGTTTTTAATGATCTGTGTTCATGAATAGCGGCTCCATCCTTTCAAGTTTCACTTTATTGTAATCTAATAATTTACATATAATTTAATACTTTTGACTATTGAAGAAGATTTTGTGAAATCGAAATGTTTAATTGTTTTTGTACTCGCACATTGAATAAATTATTCTAACACTCTCAGAAACATTGCTCGTTATTGGCCTTCTGTATATTTTATTTGCTTTTGCATATTATCAACCATAAACTTTTACTTATTTATTATATTAATAGCTATTATTGCACATTATAGATCTTTATATCAAATATCAAGAATATATTACAGATAGCGACGATTCTGAGTTTTGTCGTGATCTTTGAGATTTTGTTAGAAAGTCTTAGTCAGAAGATCAGAATTTGTCACAAGTAAATTAAAATTAATGAAAACGCATTGTGTATTTGTAAAAAAGTCTTTTCATGAAATTGCATGGATTTTATGGAGAATATTACGAACTCTTATTCAGAATTGTTGTGTAAATATTTACACAGTGTTTAGAAAAATAATATCTATAAATATTTATATATTCATGTCAAAAGAAGCTTGATACAAAGATCAGAATGAGCAAATATATAGCTTATAGAGAAAATAATACTGAGCAATTTAATTTACTTTTTCCTAAAAAAAAAAAAAATATTCTAAAAAATTCACTCTAAATAGAAAGGATATACTTGTATAAAGTGGTTGATAATAATTACAATTTTTTAATAATAAATTAATGTTAAGCTCCTGTGTGCAAAAAAACATAGGAAAAATAAAATGCAAGAAGCAAGTAAAATAAAGAATGCTAAGATAAACAAATAAAAATTTAATATTAAAAATAATAGTTAAATAATATAGAATGTTTAAACTAAGAATCTTCATTAGCTAACAGAATAAGTAAAACGTAAGAAACATTAAAAATAAAAATGAAAAGTAAGAAATATTTAAAAAATTTAGTAATTTTGTTTACAAAATTATTCAAATTTTATAAACTGTAAATGAATGCTCATTTCACCTGAGAAGTATTTCTCGTTCCTCTTGGCTTATAATGATCTTCCAAAAACATCATTGCGCGATATGCAAACCATTTTGATAAAATCTTTTTATCAGTTCCCTTTGCAGAATCAATCACTTTAATTCTCTCTCTTCTATATGATGCCTAGAAAAAATATTTATACATTTATTATCATTTATTAAACACATGATGAATTTATATTGAAATTATTGAATGCGAAATAATTATGTATAATAATAATAATACTTTTAAGTTAGAATTATTTTTTATTGTAATATATTACTATTATATAACAAATAATTATATTTGTTTTTCAATGTTTGTTTATTTACGTACTTGTAATGAAAGCCACTTCTTTTTAACATCCAGTACTGTTGTACAGAATTTGTTCGCAAGAGTTTCCCACGCTTCATTTTTTTTCCTAGTAATTTTATAATACGGATCTGAAGAATCCCATAGAATCGGCAAAGTTTCAATTTCATTAATAAATAATAAAGCTTTATCATTTGGCCACTCCATTATTTCACTAATACTTAATAATATATGTTATAAAGTATTAGTGAGTATAAAGTATTATCTTTAATGTATATATGTACAAAACGGAATAAGATTTCGACGATGCTCGAGTCGTATACGAACGATTGTCTCAGATTAGAAAACTTATTAACCCAGACTCTGATCGAACATGAACGATCACGAACGAATGCTTTTCTCCATTTTAATGTGGATTTCTGTCCTTACTGGGACAAAGTAAGGTGGTTCATGATAAGATTTGATATCCAAATTTATTATTATTATTATTATTATTTGTATTTCCGTCCCACAGTATCACGATATTGTCGAATTACATTGAATTTGTTTTCGGATAATTGTGCGTCTATTAGAGCGCGATTCGAGAATTGAATCCGTCTCTTTCGCTTGGCAGGCGAATGTTTTGTCACTAAGCTCTCCAGTACCTCACAGAGTACTTTTCCTTTGATAAACATATCGACAAGAGAGACGGAACGTATTCGCCGATGTTCATTTCGGCTCGTTCGTACTCGCACACGTTGAGTGAGGTTCGTTCGTAATTCTTCGTTCGTGATTGTTCGCGCTCGCTCTTATTTGATCTGGACGCGTTTTTTTGACATACCAATAGAGATGGTATGCACTGACGAATTTTATGTTAAGACCAAGCCAATCCTGAGTAAATTTTCGCGATTATCAAGTGGGCCCGATGAGTCCAGGAATAATTGAAGAGTACACGAAACATTATTATCCGCTATCTCGACGTGATAACGTTCGATTTTTATTTAAAACTGTACGTCTATTGTTATCATCTACGTTTCGTCATTCATACTATATAACATATAATCAATAGATAATAATCAATAAGAAAGAAATACTGTTTTGTAATGTATATTACAATATTAAATATTTCGTAAATGTACGCTTATATTTACGTACGTAGCACTGTATCATATATGCATACAATAAATCATGAATTGAATTGTAATAATGTATTTATATAATTTATTGTATTATTAAATTTTAATATATTATATATTATAATGTAATATAAATTGTATTATTGGCTAATTGTAGATATTTTTTTATATCAATCGATCGAGACACTAGGTGTTTGTACTTTTATTCCCAGACTCATGGGCCCATTTGACACAAAAATTTACTTAGGAGCTAGCTGTTTTTAGCATCAATATTCAACCTTTTGATTTTAGCGTCAATATTGGATCTTTTGACGTACTGACAAGAGATCATTATTCAATTTGTACATACATATCATGTACTGACAAGGAAAAGAACCGTTCATATACCATTCATCCACCAATGAGATACTATCAAAAGATGGGAGCCGAGTGAACAAACACGAACGAACACGAATGAACTACGAACAAACTTTATTCCTTGACGATTGGAGTATGTAACGAGCATGAATGAATTCAAATATACACGGAGTGTTGTGGTAGTTTAGAGATTTCTCGTTTCTTTCACCCGTTTCCCTCATATATTTAAGTAGAAAAATTATCCTGTTGCGATCAAGAAACAAATTTCTGAGAAAAAAAAAATAAAGATCAAGACTACTTGGTGCAAAAGCATTTATCCCATTAAGTTGCATGATCTAAAAGTAAAAACATTTTCGTGAACGTATTCACTGGAGCGTTTTTAAAAAAAAATTGTTTTATGGAGATGAATATGAAAATTATAGAAATATATTAATTATTAATATTAAGCTTCTCTCTTATTTGAAGATTATAATGAACATTATTGCCTCCTTATAAATGTTTATTGAAATACATTACTTTCTCTCAAATTTTATTAAATCATATTGTAATCAATGTATTTTAAATCAATATTGTAATTCCAGTCAATTTTAATCTATGGTCAAAAATTCTATAATGAAAAAATATACTTTAGCGAATGTATTGCATCTCTTGTTGATACATCAAAGCTTCCGTTTATATTCGTTATAAATATTTCGTAATCGTTCGTGTTCTTTCTAGTTTGGTCTGGATTCATCTTAAAAAATCTTAGAAAAATAAATTTTTCGATATTTTATCAAAAAATTCTTATTAAGAATAGCTTATTAAGAATAGCAACAAATTAATAATACTATATATTATATGGCAATAATCCAGTTATACAAAACACATATAATCGTATCAATCTGTTGCTGTTATTATTACAAGCCATATTTTTCAATTACTTATAATATCAATAAACATCGCTAATCGAATGTTAGAAGATACTTTTGACAGATTATTCTTTTTCGTAATATCCGCATTTATGTGTTAGCAAACAAATAAATGTTTATTGGATGCATAAAAAAAGAACTGTAGGAAATACGGCTAAAAATATAACAAGTCGAATTTCAAAATATAGCAAATCTAATTGCTCGTTCATACATTTGTATTTGTGTACGTCGATATGCCGGAGTATTATAAAAACATAGAAAGTAATATGCATGTATAGGAAAAATGGTACTGCATAAAACTTTCTTTCAAGTCAAAAAGGCTAGTATACATCAAGTTTAAAATACAGTTGTGTCTTATAGGATATGATCGCAATTACTTAATCCTTATGACAAAAATTAAATCGTCTGTTAAAAGGTTTCAAATAAAAAAAATAAAGAAAAGAGACTTGCATAATCTTATAGAAATTCTTAAATAAAAAAAAAAGCACATTGCACTTGGCTGTATTATCCAATATGCGTTCTTTATGATCGAGCAATTCATGGGCGTCACTAAATTGTAAATCTATAATCTTAAGTCATTAATGTCTCTTCTTATATTTACATCATATATGTTATAACATCATATATGTTACAACAACACCTTTGTAATAGCCTTGCAAGTGACTCTGGTTAGCAATATATCTCGTTCATATAGCAAAGAGAAACCAAAAAAAATACAATGGATCACTCAATTAGCACTAACCAATATCAATGCAGCCAGCTCGAAGAATCATCTATTTTTATACAAATAACAGTTCGATCGCAAACCATTCGCTCGTTCGCGGTAGTGGAGAAGGGGGAGGAGGGAGAATATGAGAAAGCCCAACTTAAATACCCAAACGACTGAAAACGTCCGCCTTTTTGACACGCGACACTGTTGTCACTTTACTGAAAGTCACTTGTTTGGCAGTGGTTGTGCCCAGGCGTGCTTTGGCTGGTATTGAGATAAGTCGTTCCGAAGCTGTAATAATGAAACAAAAACTATTCCCTCGTACACGATTCCGTCTGTACGCCAGTGAAAAATTTATATAGCATATATGATATACAATACCTAATTTGCCAGATGTAACTGCGGGTTTGCTGATACCCTTGATGCTCGATTTAACATTGGGCACGTCCTTCTTCAGCTTCAGTATACGGCTTGTATTATTGTTCAAAATAATCTTCTTGCTAACTTCGTGATCGGCATGCATGGTGCCGGTAACTTTAGGTATGACTCTCTTCGTCGTTATAATTGACGTACGTGCGCTAGGTGACGTTCGGTTCTTCAGTATACCCGGCGAACCGGTGGTGCCCGACCCGTTCTTAAGTATGCCCACGGTAACTGCGTGATCCTTCTTGTCGTCGATGTCGCCGAGACGCTTGAAGACACTGGTCGACCTCTTGAACACGTCCTTACCGACTCCGGTGATGTTGAAGGTGGGCGTCGCGTCGGCCAAATTGGTTGTGCTCGTGACCGAGCTGTCGCCTAATCTATCGAATACCGTACGCTTTTGTTCAGCGGGTTTCTTAAGTACCTGGGTTCTCACGGTCGTTGCCTTCGGCGCCGCGTACTCGACGGGACTGTCGTCGCTACCATTTGTCGCCTTTACCTTCTTCTCCAGGATACTCCAGTTATCTTCGTCGTTGTCCTGATACACCTCCTCCGACGCCAATTTCCTCTTGAGAGACATCTGCTTCTGGTTAACGGAGTTAGTGGTTACCGGGGCGGAAATTGGCTTCCTTATCGTCACGATCTTCTTCGTCACAGTCAAAGGTTTAGCCATCTTCTTCGTAGAGTCTGTTTTAGACGCCGTCAAAACCACCGTCTTACTTCCCATTTCTTTGACTACTTTCTTCACAGCCGCGGGTTTCGCCGCGGAAACTTTCGGAGTCGGAAGCGAGTCCTCCGAGTCGACCAAAAATCTCTCGCAGGTCGTCTCCTCCACCACCTTCTTGGCATATCTCAAAATAGCAATCATATCGCCCATTAGCGTGATGCCCATCTCTTTGAGACTAGGTTTATCCAAATCCGGCAACATATCCGGTTTGATGCGATTATTCGAGAACACGACTGCGTGTTTAGTGGCCACATCTTGAGGAAAACCAGCTCCTTTGAAGAACTTCACCCAGTAAGCTATAAAGAGAATTATGGTATACAATTTATAACATACACGACGCGAAAGGGTGCATCAGGCAAACAATTCACAAGCAAAATATACAAATTACGCGTGTAATTTTTAAATTGTCGGATCATCTGGAGCAGGTGGAGTGCAGTATTATTTACTGTTTACTACGTGCCTCTTGAGCCTTCGTTAGCGAGATTTTTAGAGATCGCAAATTCGAAAGATTGTCATAAAATAAGTTCGCGACTCACCCGACAAGGATGCAGCCATTTTAACAGTTGAAGTACGCGGCAGTACGCGGTGAATTTCGCGGAGAAATTATTAATAAACACGAGAATTTCTCTGAGACTCCACCATGCCTATATATGCATACCACGGTTTGTATGCACATATGTATATACGAAGGCGAATTCACGTAAGTATCACGCACACATACACACACACACAAGTATATAAACGAACGGCATGTATCAGGCGATGGACGTAGACGAGGAGGAGTGTTGGCAGACTTTGGCAGCTGCCAAAACATCCGTAAGATGGAGCGCCGCTAATAGAAATGGACACTAATTCGATCGCGGTAACATCGAACTCGACCAATCAGGATCGACGAGTGGGACAAAAGTCAATAGTTTTGCGTTTACCGATTGTTCCACGCGATCCCAGTGTGGAATTTCAAATCCTTCAACACGTTAATAATTACAGGGGAAATTTTAGTTTTATCAATTCGTTTTGCTCGCGTATAGAAAAAATACATATGTTGCTGCGAAAATCGAAAGTGTTTTACGGCCGAGGGCCACACAGTTGCCGAACGATTCACGTATTAACGAGCGTCACTTCTGAGTGGAGGGGGGCGTCAGACCGTCCAGGGGTGGGAGGTTTGTTCACCGAATTCGCGTCGGCCATCTTATCTGACCTTCTGTGTGGCGTGTGCTGATGCCGTCGTCGTCGTCGCGTGACGATAATTTTCGCGTTTCAATCTCGGTCGTTGTCCGAGCCGCTCTCACTTAAGAGCGTTTCGTCTTCGGTCGTCACGTTGTGAGCTCGGTAGCCGAGGACTTCTTCGTAAATTCACACGTATCTCCCTTCTATTGTCCCCGCAAGCAGCGTGAAACTCTGTGATCTGCTAATGCGTGGCGTTTCAGAGAGCTCGCCGACTCGCGCAATGGCGGAGGATTTGGATGTCGAGGCGATGCTGGAGGCGCCGTACAAGAAAGGGGTAAGCCTTGCTTCTTTGCCAACTTCGCGTACGCCGATATCTCTTATACTTTCCTTTCTCGCTCTCCTCTCTCTCTCTCTCTCTCTCATTTTTGATCTCTCGATTCGCCACCGTTTCCGTCTCACTTAAAAACGCTCGTTCATCGCATTATCGTACTGGATGGTGAGACGTGCCTTCTTTCTCTCCCTCTCTCTCTTATTTTTATTTTTATTTTTTTAATGTACGCTCTCGCTGCCGTATGAGAGAAAGGGAACCCACCATCACAACCACCTCCATCTCCCCGCCTCTCGCTCTATTTTTTTATTCTCTCTCCCTCTCTCTCTCTTTTCTCTATGTGTGGTCTATGGATAGTTTTATGTACAAGTATATATATATGTAGAACAAAGTACGCCCTTGTCTCTGATGTTACCAACTATTGATCAACACCTCCGTTTTCTGTACTTATAGATGGTACGTAACATGTACCCTCGCGCTCATAGGATGTGCGCCACCGAGTTCCTTGCACTTGAAAGACTACGAGGTATTAAGAATATAGCAATCATCTAAACATCATTCTCTACCTCTCTCTTTTTTTTCCCCCTGTCTCCTCTCTAGTCTCTCTTTCTCCGTTTCTTTTTCTTTTTTTTAAATATTTTTTTCAATCTTTTCTTACAAAGGTGTAAGGTTCATAAGATTAAAATGATCACACACACACACACGCGCACACACACATCCGCGTCACTATCATGGCGGTACAAGCTCGAACGGAGGCAGTTCTCGACAGGGACAATGATAATGGTAATCCATGGGAAGCTTCAGGCTGTTTGTGCACGTGGTAACATATACCTGTTAGAGAGAGGAGTCCCCCCCCCCCCG